AGGAAATAGACCGGATTAAGACTAAAACATAACAACCAATGTTTTTATCAACAAAATATGACTTATAATGTCAAAGAGTGTCAATATGTAATGCCAAAAAACACTGTGAAGTGCCACCATATAATGCCAACTTGTGGCATTACACTGTGTCACACTCTTATTTAGGGGATAAAAACATAAGAGAACCTATTTTTGAATAAGTTTAATGCTTTGGTCTTGCTTAGGTATATTTCTTTATATTTTAATTTTAAAACTACACCTCAAAATTAATACTCCCTCCGTCCCATTAAATTATTGACACTTTGAAGTTTAAGAAAGTTGTTGAAAAGTAAAAAGTTTGCGGTTATAATTTGATAAGAGGAGAGAATTTTTGGTAGCCACATATTCATTACCAAAATAGGGAATAAAGTGTGAAGTATTTTTTTTGGACATTTAAAAAAGGAAAGTGTAAATAATTTTATGTGAGAGAGGGAGTATAATGATATTGATGTTTATACTCTCTTTATCCCTCATTAAACTTCGTATTTGCCTTTTCATGGTCTCCAGTATTCATCTTTGACCACAATGATATTTATCATATATTATTGAAAGTTATGAAAAAATATAAATCAACACAAACTTATCAAGTTTATATTCATATCATAAAATAATATAATCTAATATCTATGAAATATTGAATGTCAAGCATAGCAAGTTTTGACCTCTAAAAAGCAAACATAAAGTTTATTAAGGAGTGTCGGGAGTAACTTAAGGTATTTTTTATGATAATTATGGTCAAGGTTTATAAACATTGACGACGAAAATCATATTTTTGAACTTAATTGTGGGACATGGGGAGTATACTAATAAATAGTAGACACAAAATGAAGTTGGTCTTTTGCCTTTAGTTATGCCATTTCCAAAAGTTGAGAATAGAGAATTGGTGGAATGGTGGATATAGGGTAAGCACATTCAGCAAGTATGCTTTACTCTCACAAATTGAAGTTGGGAGTTTTTCCTATCATCGTCCAACTTCCACAAAGTGGTTATCTTCATCGCGCCATCCGAAGTATTCCCACTTTCAGAAACCCCTCCATAGCCCCGCCCTCTTCAAATCCAACCAGGTGGCTGGAAAATTAGTGCTGATCAGGAAGAGAAGATAGTATGGAAGAAGGGAGTTACTGGTATGCAAATTAGATGAAGAGATAGCATGTGTTGGAGAAGAGGGGATATAGGGTATGGTGGAGTTAGTCATGGCTTTGACAGGTGGTGGAGAAGGGTAGATGCCTAGATGGCTTGTGGAACATCTACTTTCTCTAAAATTATTACAACATCCCCAATATATTCCCAACTCTGTAAGGGGTTTAGGGGTCAAAATGCACAAAACCTTACTGTGTAAAAAACAGAGAGACGATGTCCCTTAGACCCTTGATGCATTGAAGCATTTAATGTCCAAAACTTCATAAAAGGGTAAGAAGCAATACACATTTAATGGCCACTATTTACCTGATGCTGAAACATTGCCAAAATTTAGTCTTCTAGCTCCATTGACAATGGTCACATTTCTCTAAAGCTTTTCAAACATAAATATATTTTTATTACACTTCACACACTCTCACATTGATGGATTGTGGACCTAATTTATAATAAAAAAAAGTTGGAGGATAATATCACATTTCGCAATCTAAGAAATCAAGAGAATGTGTTATCAATCCCCATTTATCTTAAAATTATCTCACGTGATAACTATTATCAGAGATCAACTAGCAAAGATACACTCAAAGTCTCAAAGTCTCAAAGTCTCAAAGTCACTAACCTCGAATTCTATGTACTGTATAATCTGCACGCACAGTACTTTGTGTTAGCAGACCCTTTCCCCATTCTCCTTTCATCAAAGTAAGAAGCCGCTGGTGTTCAGTTATAGCATTGATGCACTCTTGCACAGCATGGATCAATGTGATCTGCTGTGGGGATTGTTGAAAATTGCTAGAATTCAATGTTGCTGAAATAAAAATCCAAAGAAGATGCCAAAACATACACATTGAAACACAATAATAATACTATTGACAACATAATTTGTTTTTTAAAGAGAAGAAACTAACACATGTAAGAGTCAACAGTTTGAACTAGGTTGGCACGTAATTGATGAAGAAGACCATCCTCATCCAGAGTAAATGACGATTGCCATTCATTATTCATCCCAGATGTGGAGGCCGTAGAAGTTGCAGCACCTGAGGTTTCACTTCCCACTTGACTCACAGTGATTGCGAATCCTAGTTTAGCCGCTGCTTCCATAACCTGACAGTACAGCAAAATAAGCACGATTTAAAACTAACAAAAATAAGCTGCCTTGAGCAAGGGAGAAGTACGAGAGCAAGTCAAGTGTCAACTAGTGTCATCTTTGCACCATTTGAACAAGTTCAATGCACTATGAAATACAGAAATAGACATGTCAAAAATACCAGAGAGGAAAGGTGATGAGGTAGCACACCTTTACGTGACTGGTATCGATTTTGTCAAGCAAGGGGTTCAGTAATACTGTTGAAAACCACTGTCTAAGATGGTCACGCCACAGTTCAATCTGTGGATATATACCAAGATGTTCAAAAGCCTCAACAGATTCCTCCATTGACATAGGAAGAGGCAGATCATTCTCCCCTTTCTTTGGAGGAGTGGTGAACTTTTGTGATCCAGGGGACATCCTAACGGGCCTCAAAGGAGTACTTCTAGGAGTTCCAGAAGTGTTGGATGAGCTGGGCATGTTACTAGGACTGACTACACCAAAACTACTTATGGTAGGTGGAGGGGTAGACAATTTACTTGCGGATTCATAAATTTTGTCATCAACATCAGCCAAAAACTTCTCAAACGCTTCTTCTGTTGTTATTTCTTTGTGAAAAGGAGTTCGCTTGTTTGACCAAGGTGAAGTCTGGGGAGAAGGCATTTGCGACGATGTAGGGCCTAGATTCAGAGTTTGTGAAGTAGGTGACTTGGATGGGGTGCTGAAACTATGCATTTTAGACCCACCACCTGAACTTGACTTTTCACTACTCAGTCTAGCTGAACGACTTGCACTTGAAATTGGGTGATGAACTGGGACAAGGGCATCTAATGGAGAGGCCATTTTGGACTTGGGAGGTTTTTTTGAAGAGTCCACAGTGACATGATCAACTCTCTGTTTAATTCCTAGAAGCCCTAGCTGTCGATTAGTTAGTACCATCTGTTCCTTTGATCCTTTAGCTGGAGAAGTAATCATGTGTTCTACTGCATTCCTTTTTCTCCATAGCAGAATAGCATTGACAAGAGCAATAAAAGTTCCAATCAAGATAAAACCGGCAATGCTTTGTATCACTTTGGTAAAAAGGCCTGTGGCATGAAGTTAAGAGAAGGTCAGACTGATTAATTGCTTAGCATTACCGAACTAAGATGAAACTTTGAAATACATCACTTACGAGCAGGGCCGTATCCAACTTTCAAGACGTTGATAACTCCATTTTCCCTGAAATTTGAATAAAGCCATTAGATAACTACAGCAACCAATAGTTTGCCCAGAACAAGCTGCAATTCACAATATACAAATGTATTTGTGCAAATCTATATCATACAATCTCCTAAAGTTTTCACATGTAATAATAATTAGATAAATAAATAGAAAAGAAATTGCTACAAAACCCTAATTTCGAGAATTGACACGCTAAAAGAATGCAACAGCAGATGCAACACACGCGAACTACTTTTCGGGAGAATTACAGACACCACACAATGCATACAAGCATACCTAGAGATGATGCTGAAAAGGGCAAATGCGGAGGCGAATGAGAGAGAGAAGATGAACAGAAAGGTGGACTTCGACGGTCGAATGCTATTGGAGGTTAAGGCGGCGGAAAGAGCTGGATTCTGATACACCGCGAACTTCGAGGGCTTGGGTGGAGCGGAGCTCTGCTCTCTTTCTCCACCACCGCCGTCCATTCTTTTAACTCGCAGATGTAACGCCGATGAACGGCGAACAGTGGCAGTCTACTGTTGATTCTCCATGGATGAGGACATTAATCCACTGCTCATAACTGACTCGGGAGCATGAATGAACCAGTAGAATGAGGAGGGAAATCCCAAACCTAGCGGTCACCTGCAATTCAAACTTTGATTCTTTGCGATTTAGGTTTTATTTGACGAGGCTATTGCTGAAAAAACAGGGAAATAATTGCAAGCACTAGTTTTCTCTCAGTTCAAATATAATTTTCTCTTTTATTAATCACAACGTCAAAATTTATTTACTTTCTTGGTATATTTTTAATATTTATTTGATAAAATAATATACTAATGTGACATCTAGTTTTGTAGATCTTTTAGTGTACTTTTTAAACATTTAATTTTTATTTTTTAATTCCAAAAAAACTTTCATACAAAATGATTTGAAAATATTTTAAGTCAAACATCGTAACACAATGAAAAAATTATTGTTGGACAGAGAGAATATATCTCGTTTGTACACCTGAATAATACAGATCTATGTGTCTATGTTGCTCGTGTGTACAAATGGGTAGGTGTACATAGGGGTGGACACGGTACGGTTCCGGAACCGCCGGTTCCGGTACCGCCACCCCATGTAACCGGAGTTGATACCGTGCCGGCCGGTACCGGTTCCGGTTCCCGGACCGGCGGTTCCGGTACCGGACCGGCGGTTCCGGTACCGGACCGGCCGGGTTCGGGCCCCCCCCCCAAATTTTTTTTTTGCTTTTTTTTTAAATTTTTAAAGTATAAAATTGTAAATTTGCAATTGTTTAAGGAAAGAATGAAATAAAAAATCTAAAAATGTAGTTGTTATTTAAATATTGAAAATGAGTTGATGGTGTAAATATAGCGGGGTGGGTTAACCGGGTTTGACCTCGACACACTCGACCCGTAATATAAAACACACAACAAGAACACAAAGTATGACCTAGACGAGGTAAAGAACCGTAAAGAAACCCTCGAAGGAGCTTATATATCGCTCACCTAAAAAATTAATTACATATTTACATTAACATAAAAAAAATTTATAACTTATTCTTCAGAACTCGGACTTCCATCTGTGGTTGCATTCATGTAATGCTCCGATTCGAGTTGGTACGATGACTCTTGAGCCCGACGTCTTGCCAAGAGCCAATCTTGGTTGCAAACCAGTGTTTCAAGAGATTCAGCGTTAAGACAACTTCGGTAGTCGGTTAGAATGTTGCCGCCAGCACTGAATTCTCGTTCAACTGCTACGGTTGATACTGGGACGGACAACACTTGTNCATCGTAATCGCATGGCACACCCTGGTACATAGCAAGTTCGTTGTGCGAGCTTACTGTTGTACCACTTGAACTCGTCGAAAACTGGGCACGTTTCCCTTTCTTTGCAAGAAGGCCACCGACTATGCCAGCAAAACCTTTTTTTGATTTCGGGGGCAGAGGTGGTGCTGTTTCTTCTTGTACAGTACCGTATAACCCTTGATATTCCTTAAACACATCTTCAAAAAGAGTTATAGCATTATCTCTTTCATTTTTCCATTCTACTAAATAGTTGTAGTAATAATTATTTTTATCTAAAAAACAATTGTAGTAATACTCAATTAGAATTTTAAAATTTTCAATCTTAAATCGTGGATCACAAATAATACCTATTTTATAAATATCAGAAATGTACAAATAATAAGTACACCATTTATCTCTCATAGGAGAGACATAAGGGTACAAATCTGGATCAGCCATACTTTCACAAAAACATGTTGCGATTGTAATGCACTCTTTAAAAAATGTATTTGTAGTTGGTTGGTAAACATGGGAAAAAGTAAGAGTTGCGTTATTAAAAACTTCTAATACGACATTCAATTTTTCAACAATAACAAATTCAAAAGGATTACTGATTATACGAAGTTCATCCCTAAAAAATTCAGCAAGTTCCTCTTTATATCTTAGGATCTGTGCAATCAATTTGTAAGTACTATTCCATCTAATGTTGATATCTCTTGCAAAACTTATTTCTTTTTTACCCTTAGACTTACAGAACATCTTCCAAGATCTCGAAATAAGACGAGCCCCCCAAATTTTTTTAATTCATTCTCTAATATTTGTCAAAACTCCGCCCATAGCTTGTAGTCTCTGTTGAACACATAAATTTAAAACATGACAGGCACACCGTTGATGCAGAAATCTACCCATAGTCGTAGACGGTGGGCAGATTTCTCTAAGTCTAGGAATAGCAGCAGTATTATTAGTAGCATTATCAAAACCAAATGGAAAAACTTTTTCAGATAAGTTATATTCCCGCAGAATACTCTGAAGCAATAGGAAAATATTTTCAGCAGTATGCTGATCATTGAAATCACGAAATGCAAGAACACGTTTATTCATAATCCAATCACTATCTAACCAATGACAAGTAACACCCATATAAGACAAATTATGATAAGTTTCACCCCAAATATCAGAACAAATAGCAACACGAGAATTAAAATTGAGAAAAAAATTTGCCAAATTAATTTTTTCCATTTTATACTGGCGAATAATTTCTCCTTTAATTGTTTTTTCTTGAAAAACCTCGTGTTTGAGGGTTTAATGTTTGTTGACAATAATCAATAAAACCAAGTTTTTCAGAAAACATGTATGGCAAATTTTCTTCACAAATCATTTCGACCATTTTTTGCCTATTTTGCTCGTCGCTATAAGCAAAAAGGCCGTCCTTACCTCTGTTAGCAAACCGAGAAATTTGGGTTTGCACTTCTTGTCGTCCCTTTTTTTGGCCTTGTATTTGGCGTACTCCACGGGATGCCTCGACCTTAGGTGTTTTTCCGGACCGCCATAACCGCCGGAAACTCCCATTTTTATGACGGTCCCGCAATGTTTACAAGTTCCGTAAACTATGCCATCTTTTGTGTCTTTGTCAAAATGATAAACAAATAATTCTGATTTATATTTTTTTTACCTTTGTCCGGACCTCGAGAGGTCGCGGGATCACCTGCCTCCACGTCGACGTCGTTGCTTTGCGGTGTAGGCTCATCGTCCCCGTCAAGATTATCCAGTCCTGCTTCATCAACATCCTCGAATAGACTATCAAAAGTGGGGAGATTCGCGTCTCCTCTACTAGAATAAATCTGGTTGAATTCTTCATCCGTCATAGCGTCCCCGATTAAATGATCTGGGACAGTAGGAAACGAAGAGACTGAGTGTCTTCTTCGAGAACCGTGTCCGCGTGAGGTCGAACCGTCGGAGGTGGCTTTAGCTTTGCCTTTACTCAATCTTCGGTAGACGTCGCCCATATCCACGGACCGTCTACCGGACTCCCTCGACATTTTAATATATATTTTTTTGATATTAAAATATTATATTACTTTTGGAAAAATTAAAAAATTTCGAAATTTTACATATTAAAATTTCGAAAATTTCAAAAAATAAAGAATATATTTAAATTATTTAAAGATTAAAGAATATATTTAAAATTAATAATATTTAAAATTTTGAGAAATTTGAAAAAATTTCGAAATTTGATATATTAAAATTTTGAAAAATTCAAAATTTTAATGTATAAAATTTTTATATTATTATATGAATATTAAATGTATAAAAATTAAATAGAGATAATAAGATTGAGAGATTGATAAATTGAGAGAATGAGAGATGGATTGAGACATTGAGTGATTTTTTATGTAAAAAATGTGAGAATTTATAGATAGATCCTCCCCCCTCCCCTCTTCCCCTCCCCCACCTCAACGGCTAAATAGCCGTTTGAGGTGTGCCCCCCACTTTTTTTTTTAATTTTTTGCAGGATTTGAATTTTGAAATGAACAAAAAAAAATTAACCGGTACCGCCGGTACCGGTACCAAAAAATAGGTACCGGAACCGGTACCGAAATGGGCGGTACGGTACCGGTTCCCGGAACCGGTGACACGGCGACGATGACGGTGGCGGGTACCGGCGGTACCGTTGCCGGTGACGGTACCGTACCGGTACCGTGTCCACCCCTAGGTGTACACCCTTTTTTGTTTTGATAGTTTGGCATACTTGGTTGTGCAAGCGGTGCCAAACAAAGTAAATTCAAATTTGATTATAAGCAATTCTATTGTGAGGTACGTCCTGACGATTCCAAGAAAGTCCTCGAAGATAGAGCTCATCTACTTTTTATTTCATGTAAGAAATTCTATTATTTATAATGATTTACCTTAGAAAAACATGCATTAGCTTTGATATTATAGACGATAAGCGTATTAAATATGAACACATACCATATAATCTTTTTAAATTTCATATAGTTCATAGACAATTATATTCATGTACGTACAAATTTATAAATGATTGTCACTTGTGATGTCAAAATTTGTACTCCGATCCCCCATCCTTAAATCTCTTTTTCCTTTATTTATATTCATGTCCCAAAATTTTGCTCTTTTCCAATGAAAAACATACTTTTACCTCTACCTATTACATCAGATCTATTATTCACTAATAATTTATTCATCAGATTTTTTACTTTTATCTTCAAATCAAAATTAAAATACTTTTGGAAAGTTATACTACCTCCGTCCGAAAAAGATTTACACGTTTTGACTAAAGTTGAAATTAAGGGAGGGATAATTTTGTTTTGACTTTCTAAAATACCCTTGATGTGATGGTAAAAGTAGAATGTGATGTGTAGATTATTAGGATAAAAGTATGATGCGATAGATATGGTTTGAAAAAGTAAGGGGTAAAAGTGGTTTTTAATAGAAATAGGTAGAAGATTGTGGGACGCAATTTTTTTGAAAGGTGTAAATCTTTTTGGAACGGAGGCTCTTTTCATTAAATTCCATAAAAACCAAAAATACGATAGGGATTTTGGAATGGATGGGAGGGAATATTATTCTAGCATTTTTGTATTTGTAATAGGTCAAGAAGTTGTGGCCATATTATTTGTAATTATAGAATACGAAGTAATAAAACTTAGGGGCATGCTAGAGGTACAACAAAATGGGGTACCTCATCTGTACACCAGGCAAACACAAAAAATAACACTCACGCTTAATTAGTATATGTGATCCACATATACTAAGTATCTGTGTTTGTCTGTGTTTGCCTGGTGTATAAATGAGATACCCTATTTTAGTATACCCTAGGTTTATTCAAAATCAAATTCAGATCTTCATCGCAAACTCTAATAGCCGTGTCAACTGAAGTGGAGTGGAAAACTTTGACAATATATCATACAGTTAACAATTAGAAATATTTGCAGGAAATAGCATTAAAACTTAAGTCATTTCTCTAAATAGCACTTAAACTGTTTTATTCCCTAGATAGAACTTAATAATGTTCATAATGACCAGTGATGACAAACATTTACTTGAATAATGACTAATGAATAATGACTAAAAGTGCTACATTGGGAAAAAACATATGTAGTGCTATTTAGGAAAAGTCATTATGTTTTAGTGATATTTACATAAATTCCTCTTTAACAATTATATGTCCTCCAACTTATTTATTTATTTTATTCAAGTTTAGTTAAAGACACCATTCAATATAATCAAGAGAAACTATTAAAGTTTAAACCATGCAACATTTCAAAACTTATGATCTATTTTTAAAAGTATGAGAGAATTTAAAACACGTACTTTATGAAAAGCATACAATTACAATGATACTACTCCATTTGTCTATTAATTTCTTTCTTATTTTTTTAAGATTGCCCTAATTTTTTTTTCATTTCTTATTTTGGCAAAAAGGTTTTAATGAATGTATCATTATATCTCAACTTTTTCTCTACACTACGATTCACTTTATTCTATCACAGCAAGCGCAAAACATGTCAAGTCTTTATACATTTTAACTTTTCTTTATCTACATGTCAAGTCAAGCCGAAAAAGAATTCTTTTAAAAAGTATAAAAAGGAATAGTGCACTCCTAATTAAATGTCCAAGAAAAGACATGCAATTTGAAGAATCCCAATTAACCCATTATATTCTTGAGCATTATTACAGTAGCTAGGGTATATATATAGCTAGGTAGATTTTGAATAAACTTTGGTTCATGATGAAAAAACGTAGATTTTAGGTAGGCAATATATATATATAGAAACAAATTTCAGATGGTTTATGAGGTTAAATTACATTCAGCAGCAAAAATATTGGCCATGACGACCCCCAACAACGAGGCCCGTAAGATTATTGCAATCATATTCCTCCGCCGCCTCAATATCCCATCCCGTTGCCTTTATTTCCTCCGCTCCTAATAACGCCGCCGCATTCTCACTAGTAGTATTTTCTTTCGCCGCCACCTCTTCTTCTCCGCCGCCGTCGTCCGTGACGGAGTCCAGCCCCTCCCAGAGCTCGGGATCGTCGGTTACTTTAGAATCCCCGCCCCCGTCGCCACCGACTTCCTCCGCGTAGAGGATATCGTCCCTGCTGACGGGGGACGGGGTTTCGAGGACGGAGCGGACGTTGAACTTGGCCGCGTAAAATAACGCCTTAGAACGGAGGAAGGAGTCTCGGGCCGCCGAGTCGTCCCACCGCATGACGCCGTCGCCGCCGCAGAGGTGGACGTACTTTTTGGCCTCCACGAATTTGTCCCACGAGGGGTATATCCCCGCGGACGCCTTCAAGCAGAACTCCTTCTCCCACGACGGAACCGCCGGCCGCCAAACCTTTCTCGTGGCGGCAGGTCGTCGGTGGCCGCCGCGGTTTCCCGGTTTGGTGGGGCCCTTCGCCGTGTGACGATTAGGTTCGTAATCTCGAACGCCCATTATTAGTTAGAGATATTATATGCCTTTCCTCTTGTATTTGCTTATACTCGATCGATCTATGACTTCTATAAGTGAGTGTATATATATATATATATATATATATATATATATATATATATATATATATATATATATATATATATATATATATATATATATATAAACATACTGAGTTGAGTGATTGGCAAGTAATTTGGAGTTGTACGAGTAGAATTAGGATTTCGAATTATTAGTATTTTGACACTATCCTATTTATGGATTTCAAATTAAAGTTTACGAGGAAAAATATCTCATTTTTTGAAGTTATTTTATTTGTAAATTGATATATATTGATAAAAAATAAAAATTACATATTAAAAAACTTCGTCAAAAGTTCTACAAAATAAGAAGTGACAAAAATATTTTATTTTATCAAATACTTAATGAAATCGCGTAAACAAATAAAAGGCATTACACACATTCATGTGCTCAAAAGGCCAGTCAAGATGAAGAGCCAATAAAGATTCAAGTCGAATGGTACCATAATTCCTTATTACTCCCTCCTCCGTCCCACTGTCTTTGTCCACTTACCTTTTGGCACACCATCCAATGCACTTCTTTAATCCATTTTATCTTGTAATTTGTATATTAAAAAATTATAGAAATTATATATTAATAATCTATATGTTAAGACAAATCAAATAAGATCATACATGACTATATTTAGTCTTACACATTGAGAGAATTTGATGAGTCAAGGTGCTTAGATGAACAGTTCCAAAAGTCAAAACTGGACGAATACTCCGGAACGGATGGAGTAATATTGTACTCTAAGTATATTGACGGATTCAGAAAAAAATACTAACTCGGAATATGGGGACAACGTGTCAGTGTTCTAAAGTACTACTTTTTAGAAATGAGGAGACGAAAGAAACGCCAAATTTTAATTTATATATAAGATAGTCATTACAAAATATATTAAAGCATAAATGAGTTCACAAAACATAACATAAATTCCATGTCCTCAAGACCTCAACCATGAGCATTATTCTCTTCACCAGTCTTGTGGCTGGCACCATAATTTCAACCCAAAATTGATTTCTAGCAGGGTCAAAGGGTAAACTTGCATGCTGATGAGTAAAATGCATAGATGCCACGGAAGGAGGCATAGGCCCACTCCTCGGTTGAGGATTATTAATTTTGGTTCCAGCATCACCACTCGACATTTATAACTACTCCCTCCTGGCTCAGTCGAGTATTAATCTTTCCATTTTGACTTATTGTGATTTTTATTGGGAGTTGACTAAGTACTTAAAATAACAAAAATACCCCCTTCTGCCCTTTTTGCTTTTCCACCTGAACACAATAGCATCCGGCCCCCCTCCCCCCACCACTCCCTCAGCTCCCGCAATCTACGGAAGGCCTCACCACCCGACGAGAAATCGCCCTCATCAAAACAAGAAATTCAAGAAATCACCCTATCAAAACAAGAAATCGTCCTCACCAAGATAAGAAATTCAAGAAATCATCAAAACAAGAAATTAAAGAAATCATCCTCGTCCTCAATCGTTTGTCCTCACCACCAATTCAAGAAGCAAAAGCTTTGATTGGGGGTGGGGAGAAAGAACAGAGGAAGGTCGGGAGAAAGAGAAGAAGAAGAAAAGCATGAAGAAGAAGAAGAAGGGGAAGAAGAAGAGAAGGTTCATAGATTTGGCGGATCGGATAAAGAGAAAAGAAGAAAAGAGGAACTAAGGAAGAAGAGGATGAAGGGGGTGGATGGGGGGAGAGGGATCGGAGAGAGAAGATTGAAATGGTAGAGAAGAGTATTTTTGGAAGAGTGTGGGTTAAAATTAGAAATATAAACTTTATTTTCGGACGGAGAAAAAAGAGAAATGTAAACTTCTTTTCCGGACGGAGGGAGTATTTTTTAAAGTTGAAATATCATTACTACATCAAAATTAAGTGTCAAGGTAAAACAACAACAACAATAACAACCCAGTTAAATCCCACAAGAGTAGGGTCTGGGGAGGGTGTGTGTACGCAGACCTTGCCCCTACTCGAAAGTAGAGAGGCTGTTTCCAAAGAGACCTCCGGCTCAACGTCGAAAGTTGCATGTAAAGGTAAAACAACTAAATTAAAAACAAAACTCTAACTCTGCAAGTTGCAAAAAACACAACTAAAACTGGAAGAAAAAAATAAAATTGAAATTCACAAATAAAAAAACAAGTGTTCTTAGCAAAAGGGAGTCGAAAAAACAGATGTGCTTCGGAAAAGAGAGTCGTCCTCTTCGTACCTTAACACTATGTTTGGTTCAAGGATTTTGAAATGGAAAAGAAAAGAAAATGAGATGGAAAATAGCATTTCTTGTTTGGATAGAGAAGAAAAGAAAAGAAAAGTGGAAGGAAAAGGAAATGAGAAGACAAAATATATTAAGAGGAGGGAAAATCAAATTCCTCCCATTTTGGTGAGGAAAATGAGAGAAAACCATTTTCTTTTCTTTTTCTTCCAAATTCCTTGAACCAAACATAGTGTAAGAGTACCGTCCTCTTGGTCATGGGGAGGATGCATCTCCAGCATGCAATGAGGTTGCGTCTCCGGAATGAAGTTCGGAAACTTGAAACCTTGAGAGCTACCCGAGAAGAAGTGTGGGGATGGAACTAGTCCTATACTCAAATTTCTCAGAATTTGGACAATAACAATTATCGCACAAATTCTCAGTGTTTGGATCGATTGGATTGAAGTAGGAACGGTGGTTGTAAAAATACAAATAATTAGGATTTGTTGGATTCATGGTGTGAGTAGAATTATAAAATCTGTAAAGAAATATAATAAGACCGAGATAATGAAGAAGTGATAGTGTTTGAAAATAGATAGAATTGGTTGTTTAAATAGAACAGGAAATGAGTAGGTTTCAAATTTGAATTTATTATAGAGTACATTTTAACTTTTTTTATATTAATAATGGACAAAGTTTACTATTGAAAGCAAAAATAAATAAATAAATTCGAACGACCACTGACCGTTACGGTGACCATGGCGAGACTCGCGGCCCATGGTATTGGTCACGGTAGGGGGGGCAGTGTTGTCGTGAAAGGCTGGCGTACGTGGCGAAGCCACGAAGGATAGTCACACTGTTGGGGCGGTGGACAGGCATTAAGCCTAGCCTAATATGGAAGTACATACTCTTTTCGTCCTTGAAAACCTTTCTCTTTTCTTTTTTAATCCATTGTAAAAAACTTTTCTCATTTTTATTAAAAAGTCACTTTTACCAATTCTAATTCCTAACCTGTCTATCACATCACATCTATATACTACTCCCTCCGTTATCAAAAACACTTCCTCTTTCATTTTTTCCCTTCCAACAAAACACTTCCAATTTCTATTAAAAAACCACTTTTACCCTTACTTTTTCATACCCTACCTATCACATCATACTTTATCTCTAATAATCTATCCATCATATCTTACTTTTACCTATCACATCAAGGGCAAAATTGGAAGTTAACTACAATTTAATACTTCCTTATTTTTACACCAAATCAAAAGAGGAACACTTTTTCCAAACGGAGGGAGTATTAATTTACTTATCAAATCTTATTTTTACCCACCACATCTAAGGACTTTTTTGAAAACTCAACATCAACGCACATTTCTCTTAAATTCTTAAAAAGTAACAATCTCCCGGATTTTTAGGGATGAGAATATATGTCTAGAAGGGCTAGGCCATCAGTTTTCCTTGTCTCTGAATAAGTCAAGATGGGCATCGTCGGCTGATCTACTCTTCATCATCAGTGGTCTTCACTTCTCATCCAAGTAAAAATAAATAAGACGTTAAAAAAGTCAAAGAAGATTTGAATTTCCAGGAGGAATGACTTTCCCTAAATATCACTAGATGTTTTTTTCTTAAGTTAGCATTTTTAGTCATTATCCATTAGTCACTATTCAGATAAATGTTTGTCATCACTGGTCATTATAGACATTATTAAGTGATATTTAAGAAATAAAACAATTTAAGTAGTATTTAGAAAAATGGCTCAAATTTTAATGTTATTTAGTGCAAATATTTCAATTTCGTGAGGTAAGACTTCTACTCGTCATTCGTCAATGTAACACACCTTAAGCAAAAGTCTTTTTTTACACTAACAAAAACATGGTTCACTACTCCCCTGGCTTACTTGCTATATATTCTTCATACATTTTTGTACCATAAAATTTGCAATTTTAATCACTCCCAGCAGGAAAATTAAAAAACAATACAGCAGTAATAGCTAGTTAACGATGGCCGGAGGCGGTGAAAGAACATTGGAGGAGACGCCGACATGGGCGGTTGCCGCCGTGTGTTTCGTTCTGGTTGCGGTTTCAATTCTAATTGAATACATAATCCATCTCATAGGAAAGGTGAATACTTGGTTTTCCATTTCACATTAGTAATTAACTCTTAATTAATACTGTTTTTTTTTCATAATCCAAGTTTCATTTGTAGTCTCTATTATGGCTCGGATTTAAGAAACCTTTTATACTCTAATATATGCTTCTTCATTTTTTTTTTGTTTAGTGGTTGAAGACCAAAAATAAAAGGGCCTTATATGAAGCTCTTGAAAAGATCAAAGCAGGTTTTTCATATTTTTTTGCGTATATGTATTTCATTTTTTCGGTGAATGTAATTATACAAATTTCTCGACCCCACAAAATATTTCTTGTTTTGATTTTTAAGAGATTTAAAAAGATTATTTTAGTGTTGACTTTTCAAAAATATCATTGAATGTGATAGGTAAAAATAGATGTGATTGGTAGATTAAAAGTGAAAAAATGTGATGTTATAGCTAGGTAGATTATGAAAAAAATACGAGTATTATATATGCAGAGCTGATGCTGTTGGGGTTCATATCACTGTTGCTAACAGTGCTGCAAAGCTCAATTTCGAAGATTTGCATCCCCGCAAGTGTCGGGTCCACGTGGCATCCGTGCAGCAAGAAGCACGAACAGAAGTTGGGGACATCGAAACACTTGGAAATGCTGCGGTGGTGGTGGTCGGAGGAGGAGGAGAAGAAACACCGCCGGAGACTTCACGCCGGCGGAGGAACGCGGCGTGATCTGGCGGCTGCTGCCGGAGCTGACAAATGCACTCTCACGGTAATATTTAGGGATACACATGGCAAAAAAGACCCAACCTGTTTTTGACCCGAAACCCGACCTGAAAACACTGGGTTTTGAACAAAGGTTTTGATGACCGAACCCGAAATGACCCGCTAATAATGGGTCAGACCCATCCAAACCCGAACCCGACCTGACCGACCTGCTAAAGTAAGAAATTTTCAAAATCATACACTTTACTACTTGTTTTTAGTCTATAAATTTATATTTTCAGACAAAATTTTAATGATATTGCATAATTATCTTACTTTTTCCAAAACTTAAGCATTTTTAAATTCCTTATATTGATTTGTATATCTAAAAATTACTTCAAAGTTTAAAATAAAATAATTTTATATATTTAATACATTTTTTGATATTTTAAATTTATTTAATAGAAAATGTAAATGTAAATGTAAATGTGAATTTAAAAATTTAAAAAAAAACCAAAGTCATAACATGTTGGGTCGACCCGAACCCGATGACACTGGGTCATGAACATATAGTTCTCAACCCGAACCCGAAATAACCCGAAGTTGAAGTGACCGAATCCGAACCCGACCTGACCGACCGATTTTCCAGCTCTATTTACGGAGTATGCATTCTCAAACCGATGGATTATTCCGCATTGGATTTATTGGGGGGAAAATTTAAAATGAATTACATTCTCAATGCATATTTTTCAAAATAAATATTTGTACTAAATGGCATTAAAACAATAAAACTTAAGTCATTTTTCTAAATAATACTTAAACTGTTTTATTCCTTAAATAACACTTAATAATGTTCATAATATCCAATGATGGTAAACATTTACTTGAATAATAACTAATAAATAATGACTAAAAGTGCTACATTGAGAAAAATACACATGTAATGCTATTTAGGAAAATTCATTATGTTTTGGTGCTATTTAAGTAAATTTCTCATTTAGAAATAATCAGTGTAAAACATATTTTGTCATATTTGGTCTAAAAGACCATTTAAGATATAATTTTCAAAAATTAAGGATAATTTATAAAATATTTAGAGAATAAATATGGAAAAACACATATAATTAGAGAACATTTATAGAATTAATCTCAAATGTTTTCAAGTATTTAAGGGTATTTATGTTTAATCATTTTTATTTCCATATAATTTATTTTTATTAGTATGTACTAGTGTTATTACTATGATAATATAAGAGTTTTGGAAGAACACTAATGGATATGGGTAAAAAACTATAAAAATACTCCCTCTGTCCTAAAACTTTCTTCTCGTTGCGCAAAACGAAGAAAAATCTCAAGTTTTTTCAATCTATTTTATTTAAATATTGGTATAGAAATAAAAAATAAAACATACATATTTAAAAACTAAATCAAAAGTTCAACAAAACAAGTGGTGACAAAAATATTTTATTTTATCATATAGGCCATGAAAAAACACAAATAAATATAAATTCCCGTGAAGTTGGAATAGTGCTCTAGGAAAAAAGTTCTAGAACGGAGGGAATACATAATACTAATATAAGAGTTTTAACTATTTTAAAACTTAAATAAGAGATGCCACACTATCACTGTCATATTGTCATTGCCGCCAGTCACTAGAGTGATGCCGCCGATCATCGGTGGTTGACTGATAACTCTGTCATATTACACTGTGATCAGTTTTTCATCACACTACCAACACGTATTTTCACATCACATTGTCACTATATATGCTCCTATTTTGGTTTTTTCATATTTTTTATTTTTATTGAGGAAGATTTCTTTTATTATTATTATTACTGTATTTAAAAAAAATTACTCCGTAGTGTGTGTGTGTGTGTGTGTGTGTATATATATATATATATATATATATATATACTCGTATTATTCTTAATACTATGATTTGTATGTATGCAGGGGAAAGTGCCGCTAGTGTCAGTAGATGGCATTCATCAGTTACATATATTCATTTTCGATTTGGCAGTTTTTCATGTGCTCTATTGTATTACAACTCTAGCTTTGGGGAGAGCCAAGGTTTTTTTTTCCTGCGCTTGTTAATTAATCTATTGTTATTATTATTATTGTTATTATTATTATTATTAAAAATTATGCATGATAATTTATTTTAGATGAGAAGATGGAAAGCATGGGAGAAGGAAAGTAGAACAGAAGAATACAAATTTAGTCATGGTAAATAATTCGTACTCTATCCATCTATTGTTTTCAAAAAAAAAGTATTATATATTAGAGAATTTACCTAAATAACACTAAAACATAATGACTTTTTCTACCTAGCATCACATGTGTTTATTTTTACACAAATAAAAAATTACTGGTCGTTAAATACATTTAAGTTTGACAATGTCAGATCCGGAGAGATTCCGATTGGCCAGAGAGACAACGTTTGGAAGAAGGCATTTGACCTTTTGGACGAAAACACCATTTCTGCTTTGGACTGTAAGCATTTTTTTATTTTATTCTTTGGGTTAGTAATTTTAAAATAATTATCATCATTACTATTCATTGCAGTCTAAAAGTCAACATCTATCATCATTACTATTATACATAGACCCCAAGAACAGAAATCCGATAACCCGAACTGAAAAATTTCGAATAGAATTTGAAATGACTCAAAAAGTGAAGAAATGAATTATAAGTGAACATCTGAAATGATCCAACCCAAACAAAAACTAAACCGAATGTATTCACACCCGATTTGATCTATCCAAACCGTTTAAATCCGAAACTGATTAGACACGAAATTAATTATACCCACAACTGAATAAACTTGATATCGATCAAATTCAAAACAAATTAAACTCAAATCTAATCAAACCTAATAGCTCATTAGCTGATGTCTTTTAAGAAAATAAAACATATTACAACAACTTTCATTACAAATCTTTTACTCTTTATTTTATCACTTAAATTAAGGTAGTTGTCTATTTTTATACATATATATAGTATATAAATCTTTTACTCCTTATTTTATCACTTAAATCTTTTACGCATCGATAGATATACTAGCTTATTATTGGTGACACATGTATATATACCTTTTTTACACATAGGGAGGGGAGGCTAGTCAGGCTACAAACAAGGCTAACATTATGAACTCTAATACCAAGGGATCTCGTCTGAAACCGGTATAAACATAAACTGACATCTACTCGAAACCGATATCTAACCAAACCGAAACAAGAAAAAATCAAACCGAATTAAACCATAACAAAACTAAATTGAACTGAACCAACTCGAACCGAAAATATCTGAACCAGAATCAAACCGATTGACCCAATTGCCATGTCTAGATATACATACATCATTATACAATAATAGGGAGCTAAACGTTAAAGTTAATGTTTGAAAAAACTATCTAACAACATTTAATTTTGATATTTTCAAAATTAATCTATACTATTATGTAGATCGGTTTTAGTCAGTTTCGGTCCAAAACTGAAAAAACTTAAATAAAATTATTATTCATAATAACCGACCGAACCAAATTGATATACATGAAAAAACGATGTAACTGAAACCGATTAAAAAAGCCAAAATGTTAGCTTTCCAAAGGACCTATTATAGTTTCCATACTCAAATTCTTTGGCATTGACTCCGTATATACCCCATATACAATACAATCATTGTTATTTGTATAGCTCTATCCAAGAATATGAATACGCAATGGGTGACTATGAGAGGCCGCTTGTTAGATCGTCGATATTTCAAAGACGGAAAGAGTGATTATGAAAGCACGTTGCGAGGAGACTTTATCTTATAGTTTATCAGCTGTCCGTTTCGCCAGACTACTGAAGAAGAATCAATTAGCTAGCAAGGACATAACATAAGGGTTGAAGACAAAAAATGTTGAAATTGTTTTTAATAACTCTCATGAAAAACCGTTTCAAAGGACTAATATGACTCAATGTAACTTATAAGAGCAATGGCAATGACGTGCCATTTTAGCTGGCACGCTGCCACTTCCACATATGCCTCACACCACATCAGATCTGCCTCGCGTTCTTTGAGCGTTCCTCTACGGAAAGTGAGGTAGTCTCAAGATTGCCACGCTCTATTTTTTAATTTTTTAAATTAGAATAAAAATTTAAAAAATGACTTGCAATTTCTAATTAGTTGAATTGTGTCACATCAACATGTGACATCCCAATTCTTTATTTGCCATTTGAATGCTCTAAGGAATAAATTGGCTCACAAATACACCTAAAAGAGGCTAATATGAGTAACAATTCATTTTTTAAAACATCCGTCTAGAAATGAATCTACAAATTACATTCCCTTATCTTGTGGCTTTTTCCCTCCGGCGGCCATCTCCGTCCAGCCAAGCCGACAAAAACCAATACCCGGCGGCCATTCTCCGAAGTTTGACCAGTGCCAATTGCTTCCTGGTAGCATCACCGCCGCATCAACTACCAACTGTCCGACGTCGACGAGAAGGTGAAAAAGAATTGAATGATTTTATTTTTATTTTTGGTAGTCTAGTTTTTGCGTACTCCACAGTCAATTTTATTGAAATCTTTATGTTTTTTATTTTGCTTCAATTGCTTCATTCTGCGAGGCTGATTTTGTTCCAATTTCGATTAATTGATCCTCAATAGAAATTTTGTCTAGGTTAGTTCTAGCTGGTAAAATATTAAACATTGAAGCTCTTCTCAAAGTCAAAAGTATTCTTCTACATTTCTACCTTTGACAATTTGATTTTTATTCAATTTAAAGTCTGTCCTTTAGATAATTGCATTTAATTGATGATTCGAGTTTAAATTCTTGCTGTAGTTATTTAGAAGATGAACTTAAGAATGATGATAACTTTGATATTAATGGCTATGACTTGCATGTGATCGAAGTTGAAATTACATCAACACATTTTGTTTGAAGAAGTTAGAGGTTTTTGATATTTTTAAACTATTGAAACTTGTTGATTGCTTTGGTAATGCAATTGCATTTTGGATATTGTTACTGTTGCAACCATCGAAGAAAGATTTCCAAAGTTAAAGTTACTTGGGTCATATTTGCATTGTTTTATATCATGAGAAGGACTTACTGGCTTGCTTTAGTAGCCACCGAGAATGAATATTTGGATAAACTTTCTTCTAAACAAGTGATTGAAGAATATGCTTCAACTCAGAGGAAAAAACTTTTCAAGTAGTATTTTTTTAAGTTCATAATTTATGCTTTTATTGTAATACTTTATCAAAAAACAATAATCTATTGTAATGAAATATACCTACGAGGGCCCATATTTTTATTTTAGCTCCGGGCCTAATTTTTTTTGCGAGATGGTCCTTTCCGTATAATAGGACTCCATTAAATCACTACATGCAGGTTACACCAATCATCCACAACATGCAATGCCGCTCAAATCTCTAAGTTGTTATGCCAAAACCTCTAATCTAGGACTTCTAATATGTGCTTTGTATCGATTTGCTTCGGCTATCATACCTCCACGAGGCCTCACAAACATACATGGTTGGCAGCCTTCCATTCAGCTCACATTCAGCTTCTGGATATCAGAAATTTTATACATTGACTAATTTCTTCTTTATGTTGATCGCAATTATCTTCATGCAAGGATGACTCCAGGACACGGTGGGATTAGGACTTCTCATACCAGTGGGTAATTAATAATTAATAAATCTCAACAAGTATTTGCAATTTCTAGTTCTTATTTTGACAGATTGCAGCCTCAATTTTTGCATAAGTAATATTTCCTATTAGCTATTATAGGATGTCGTATCCGAGTTATCCGAGCTGCGACTGGAGCAAGCTGGGTCCGAATCTGTAGGCCAAGAGATAGATATACATCGTAACTAGCCCAATACATGTATCCTAGTTGCGACCGGAGCAAGCTGGGTCTGAATCTGTAGACAACACATGACCCGCATGGGCCATGAGGTGTGTTCCAATGGGCTGGAGCCGTGTCTTGCAGTCTTGCTAGGGTTAGTAACTTGAGAAGATAAAAAATAATGAGATCCAATCGAATCCCATGAAGAGAGGATCACGATTAGGTATTGGAGAGCTATAGATACTCCCCCAAGGGGCATGAATAAGCAAGTCTTTTCGATTAATCTCGAGCTCAATATTTTCTTTTCTTCAATTGTTTGTATTCCATTATTCTCGAGAGGAGAGTTTGTGAGATAATTACTTGGTGGAATTAAATTAAGTCAAGTTAAAAGGCTAAATATAATAACATTTCCTTAATATATATATATATATATATATATATATATATATATATATATATATATATATATATATATATATATATATATATATATATATATAAAATTTGGTTCAAATAAGAATGGTGCATAGTGAAAGAAATGAGAATGCATACGATCCATTAGATTGAAGATCTAAGGGCTATGAAAAATAAAAAAAATCTGAAAAGATTGAAAAAGCTGCAGTGGCAATTTGGTAAATAAATTGAACTTTTCGAAAGTGCACTATTACAGGTGTAAAATGCATCACGATGGTTTGAAAATGCACTATTCTCATATTCTCACATGAACCAACCCCTATACACATACACCCACATATTACAAATTTTGACTTTTAGAGTTATTACATTTAATTTCTTCTGCACGTGTTTGTGATTTTCTTTTTCAGGTCTGTTTCTTTCGGCAATTTATACGTTCTGTTCCAAAAGTTGATTATCTAACTCTTAGGCATGGATTTATCATGGTATGAATTAATGCATTATATTAAAAACACATTGGGTTTTGTTTTGGGGCTAATAATGCATTACTATGTAATATGTATATATAAAATACATTGAGTTTTTTTAAAGGTAAAATACATTGAGTTATAATTTGACACTAACACCATTAAATGTTTTGGATCGAAAATATAGTTTTAGCGTCTGTTGTGCCTATACGGGGTATGATTTATGTATTTATCGATAATTAAATATATATACTCCCCCCATCCCCAAAAAGATGGCATGTTTACTCTTTTTGGATTCCGATAACTTTTATTTGCGTATGCATTTTCATTGATCCTTTGATAAATAAAATAGAAACGTCACCCCTTTCTTCTGTAGAACGTTTGATATAGTACGTAGTATTTAAATATGAAAGTTGTATGTTTTATTTCATTACGGATTTGTAAATAAAATCATTTATAAATAGATAAATTTTGCATGTTGTTCGAAAAGGGACAAAAAATATGGGACGGGGGAGTAATAATTATTAAAGTATTACATTAAACATTCTGAAGGTTAAACTGTAAATTTTATTATAGGATGGAGTGTATACATGCATATGTGTGTGTGTATAAGCAAAGATATATCCTATGATCTCATCCTAAATTAATTTTCTCACTTTGATTTCATAAAAAAATAAGAAAAATATTTAAAGAAAAAAGAAAAGTGAATAATTATATTTTGTTTAGAAGGGAGAAAAATATTTTAGGTAATATTCTTTTCCATAAATAAAATGAGAAAAAAATTATTTTAAAACGAATGAAAAAGGAAAATTAGAAAAGAATTTGTAGAGTATTTGAGTGAAACATGAAAACAAGGTCATTACATCTTCAGGCTCATTTGGCACCTCAAAGCCAGGCAAATTTCGATTTCCAGAATTACATCAAAAGATCACTTGAAAAAGATTTCAGGGTGGTCGTTGGAATCAGGTCTGTTTTTTCATTCTGCCTGCACAATTGCACTATATATCCATTCTACTATTTGTTCTTTTTTTCTTTATTTTAATTGTGATATAGAGTTTGAAAATTTGAATTTTGAGTTTGATTTAGAGTTTGGATACAATGCTATTTAAACTATTATTTGGATACTGGAGTTTGAAATCATGTAAGAATCTTTTTATTCTCAACTTAATTTAAGTAGCTTCTAAAGTGTGATAACCGTAATCTATAGTTATAATCTTAAGTCGATCTTATTTCTGATAATTGGAGTATGGAGTATGTAATCTGAATCAATAATTATTTTAACTGAAATCTGAATACTGGAATTTGAAATCCAGTAACTGGAGTCTAGAGTATGCTAACGGGAGTCTGGAGTCTGGAAACAGAAAAATGAAACTTGGGTATTTGAATATAAAGTTAAAAACAATAGACCTTAGCTCGAGTCTGCCCACTATCGAATAGACCTTAGTACGATCTGCCCAATATTTCTCCTCTCGTGGAGCACTTTACATTTCACCATTATAATCATTAGCATAATCCCGGTCAACCAACTCCCCGCAAAGCTAGCTTATTCATCATAGAGTCAAGGAAACCTCACTCGGTTCAATTGAATCCTTGCTAGAGTCACATACAAAAAGGTCATAAAGTTCACAAACTTACCATTCGTGAATTTAAATCTCTATTTTTTTAATTATTTGAAACCATTTGTTCTTTTAATGCGGCGCACAAATATAGCAAGTTTGTGAATTTTGTGACCTTTTTTATGACAAACATTTCTCATGCATGCAATTATATTCGTTCAAGATTAGTTGCGAGAAGCTAGGTGGAGGTGGTTTGGACATGTGAGGTGGTAGGATGCTGATGCCCCAGCAGTGCGGAGAAGCGAGAGACTTATGTTGGTTGATGGGAGTAGGGGAAGGGGTAGACCTAGGAAGAATTGGAAGGAAGTGATTGGACATGACTTAGGACTTCTTTCTCTTACTTAGGATATGGCCTTAGATAGGAGCGTTTGGAGAGCTAGGATAAGAGTGGGTGGGTAGGCGTTTTAGCCTAGGGTGTAGTTTATGTACTTATTCTGTGTTTTGTATGCCTTGTATGTTTGATGCTCTCTGCTTGTAGTTTTTTTATATGCGGTGTGAGTATTTTATACTCCGTATTACTTATAAATGAATGTTTGCCACGAATGTACGAGAGATATCATACAACTAGTTGTACGATGTATATCGCTTACAACTTGTTAACAATTGTGCATTGTGTGTTTTTCTGTTTCATGTACATACAGTCCTCCAATGTGGCTTTTTGCGGTTTTCTTCCTTCTTTTCAACACTCATGGTAAGCACTTTAGATAATGTAATGTACTTTCTCTGTACGATTTATTTGTCCAATTTTTTTAAAAAATATCATGTTAAGAAATGAATTAAAGATGTCAAATAAAGCATTGAAAAGATTTTTTTGGTTATTAATGTGAATAATGATCATACAATCTTTGTAGTATATTTTAAATAATATACTCTCTATTATAATTTTTTTATTAAAATAAAAAAGTGAATGATTAATTTCGTACAAATAAAAACAAGAAAGTGAACAACTAAATCTAGACAGAGAGAGTAGTACTTGTAGAACAAATAATAACGATATGACATAACTGAGTTCAGATTTAATAGTTCACCTTTTTTTGTGTACACATATAATTATTCACTTTATATATCTAGTAAACAAATTCCGAGTATTTGAAAAGTATCAGAAATACCTCTTAAAAATAAATACCTCTTAAATGATTTATTATCAACATTGTTACTAATTTGTTATCAACGAAGATAAATAACCTCATTTTTGAAGGATTATTTTGCTATTTAACTTTTGTTCCTTAACAAACATTAATTGTGTCATATACATTTTTTTGATTTGGAGTGCAGGCTGGTATTCTTATCTTTGGCTTCCATTCATTCCCTTGATTGTAAGTTATTGCGCTCTTAACTTTATTATCACTATGTAACTGAAATGGTTAAAGGAATATTATATAAAGCGGTTGTTAGTTGGAATTATCTATGATATGCCCCACAAGATTGGGTTTCGTCAAAAATGCCTAGTTTAGTCAAACAAAGTTACATCTTTGGGTAAATTCTTTCGTGGTCTTAAGGCCCGCACTCATTTTATGGACCTCAGTATACAAATACTATGAATGAATTGGCTCTGTGAAAAAATAAAAAATCTATATGTTGGCCTATGAAAAGTGTGAGAAGGTCCATATTTCACATGTAGGCTTTAGGATGATGGAAGCACAACTCTACACTTTGACCACGAATTGTGAATTTAAATTTGTTAAAATTGGGCTCATTTTAAAATATAGTTTTGATATATCAATTTATTCACAATATTGAATTATTTAAAACTATATTTAATTTATGATCAAAGTGTTGCATAGTTTGACTAGAAAAATCAAACTGTGATTTTTTTTGGGCAGAGGGAGTATATATCTTGTTTTTACTTTTAACGACAGCATACATACAGATCATCTTATTGGTTGGGACCAAGTTACAAGTGATCATCACAAAAATGGGCCAAAGGATTCACCAAAGGAATGAAGTGGTGAAAGGAGTTGTGGTGGTTGAGCCTGGAGATGACCTTTTCTGGTTCAATCGTCCCCGTCTCCTTCTCTTTCTCCTCAACTTCGTTCTTTTCCAAGTATGTATGCTTGTGGAATTACTATATTCTATCAATAAGTAATTAATTACTCTTAAATCACCGTTTCGAATTTACTAATAAATCAAATTGAATAACTAATCGATGTGCAGAATGCCTTTCAACTCGCGTTCTTCTCTTGGACTCTGGTAATTATATATGCCACTGCACGCAATTAGCCATATATGATGGCATGAATGTTGTTAAAAGGAATTGAAGGTAAATTAAATATAACTTTTTTTTTTGGGTGTTGGTTTAATTGTTCCCAGTATGAATTTGGGTTGAAATCGTGTTTCCATGAGCACGTGGAGGATGTCATAATCAGAATCACAATGGGGTAAGCTTATTATTTTCTCTTTTTCTCAACTTGTTTTTAATTCAATTCACCTCTCTTAAAATTACAACTAATTTTAGTTTTATTTAGTTCAGTTCACTTTTGATAAATTTTTGAGGGAGACAGGTGGTATCTAGAAGGGTTATCGGGAAAAAGAAACAGGTGTTATCTAGAAGAGTAAAGTAAAAAATTGTTCATTTTATGGTGTTGATGGGGGTGAATGAAATAAATAATGTGGAGTGGGTGGAGTAAATTATGTGAGGTGGGTAAAAAGTAATTCCCATAATACCATTTGAAAGTGGAAAAAAGTTCTTTCCTTAAAAATCACCAAAAGTCAAAATGAGAACATCTTAGGCGGACGGAGGGAGTATTAAATAGTTTCGTTTAAATTTAGTTAAGTTGACATTCTATCCTAATTTATTATTACTCCTTATTAGAATACATAAAAATATTCTTAACCTTCAACCACAAATTTGAGTTTTTGGTTTAGTTTGTTGAGTTGCTTAGTGGCATTCCTAACTATAGTTAAAATTAATTCATTAACGCGCGCAAAGTTATGGTGGCTTTTGATTCAGCATTCTCATTCAAGTCTTATGCAGTTATGTTACCCTGCCCCTATATGCCCTTGTTACACAGGTATGCCATTGATTATCAGGGAGTACTAATTACTCCCTCCATTTCAAAATAACTGTCTATTAAGGTTTATTAGATGCATTAGATTTTGAATGAATGTAGACATATTTAAATCTACATTCATTCAAAACCTAATGCATCTAACAGTAATCCTGGAATGCAGGAAGTACTATTTACGTGAAGATTATCGTTTTTAATGCATTTTTTTTGTAATTTAGTGCAAATGCTGTTTCTTATGTTAATTACATTATGTAGATGGGTTCGAAGATGAAACCAACAATCTTCAACGAGAGAATAGCGACGGCGTTAAAGGAGTGGCACCACGCCGCGAGGAAGCGCGTCAAAGAGAGTCAGAGCAGGAAAACCAGCCCCACCACGAGCCCGATGTCGAGCCGGACGGGAACGCCGTCCCACCACGGCATGTCTCCCGTACACCTCCTCCGCGGCAACCACTACCGTAGCGAAATGACCGATTCACCCTCCGCGGCCGCCACTCAATCGACGCGGCCGTACAAATCTTATTTTGACGACGAGCGTTGGGGGAACAACGGTGACTCGCAATCTCCCCCGCGTTTCTTCTTTGACATTGGCAGAGACGGTGGACCGTCTTCTTCTTCTCACGAGATCAAACGCGATCATGGTAATGGACTAGGGAAGAAGGTTGATGATGGGCCCACAGGCTCATAGCCTGTGGTCCCATCCCAACATGAGATCAATGTGGAGGAACAAAATGATTTTTCATTTGATAAAAGGTTGGAGTGATCGAACCCTAATTAAGTGGTCATCAACCTATTTAATTTGCTTGTACATGCCCAAATGTTTCTTTTCTTTACGTTTTGTTAGATTTGAACCCGCAAGAATTCTGTTCTAATAGGGCTACAATTCATTAAATATTGCTTCTGTCTCGAAATTATCTTTCGAGTTTGACTTGAAATGATTTTTAATAACGTGAAATGTGAATGGTTGTAATTTGTGTAGAGGAAGATAAGGATCACATATTTATTTTTCTTGAAAGAAATGATGAAGAAAATTTTGAGACAACCTAAAAATGAAAAAAGAAAGACAATTACGGGACGGGGGAGTATGAGATGCATAGTGTGAAGGGTTGTAAATGGGCTTGAGGTAAAATAGTTCACCATAAACCAGGTCCTGATGTACACTTGTATGTTTATGGCAGCTTATATGATATAGCCGGTTGTATCTATTTTTTTTGGGTACAACGGCTCCTGAAACGCATTCGAAAGGGTGGAGGGAATATGATCACGTCGAAGAAATATTAAATCCTAAAACCCCAATCTAGGATTGGCAGTTCGGCTAGTTAATTTACACGTACTATTAGGGTAGAATAAAAAGAGCAAGACATGAATCCCAATCTAGGAGTGTTTGTATTATATATCTAGATGAACGATATTTATTGTGCGTACTACATGTGCACACTTATAAGTTATACGGAGTACAATACTTATTTCACATACGGAGTATTATTTACTTTTTATATGCTTAGGACATACAAATATGGAGTAATAAAATTAGTGTATTCATATTTAAGAATTACATAACACTCACTAAAATGTATCGAAAAATAGGTGCATTTGAATGTATTGTACAATTTGTCATTATCTCCGTAGGAAACAAATTGGAAGCAATGTACCAAGTGGGTGGGCTGGAAGCTAGAATGGCTAAAGCCTATGATCTTATTGTTGGGACTCTGCGAGCTCTCACCCCAACCCCGCATTAATATGATATTGTCCGCTCTGGGCCAAGGCACCTCCTCAAAGGCCTCATACTAATAGAGTTGGGTGAACCTATTTATTTCGGTTCATTTACTCCTAAACTTCTGGTATCGGACTTGGAGGAATTCCAACACTTGTAGAGTAGTGGTCTTTCTTGAGAATTGTGATGGAGAGATTGGAGTTTGATAGTATGTATTTAGAATTATCTTGTCATATTGTGGGTGTCTTCTGTGACTGAGATATAGAATCTTGGTCAATGAAAGGAGATTAATTTTGCATGGAATCCATGTTTGTAAAGGGGCTCCCTCAATCTCTCATTCATTTTGTCCATATGAGACTATAAAAGGAAAACTCTGAAGCACTATCACATGGAAAATTAGACCATCGACATGATTTCACAGCAAGACAACCATCAATAGCTATGCTTTGATCCCTTTTTTTGGCGAGTTCAATAAACAAAAGCACCTGTTGAAACGATATCATATCGGGATAGAGAAGGATTGAGCACATTCAAATTGTGAGATTTGAGAAGAAGAGACTAAAGCTAAGAGAGATTGAAGAGAAAGGTTTATTTGTCGTTGGGAGAATTATATGAAAGTATGATTAATAATAAGATTATTATTGAATGATCAAATAACGTGTGATGGTTACATTACTTACATATCAAAGGTAACTAAATCAATTAGGATACTAATAACCTAGCTAATAAAATAATAATACTCTTTAATGATGATGATGATGATGATAATAATAATAATAAGCTAATCATAATATTACTAATAACAAAGTGTTTCTTTAGTACACCTTGAGTGCATATCATTTTTCGAACTTACATATTTTTTTGTTTAAAAAAATAAATGCTTATTTAAGTAATAAATAAATGTTTATTTTTTCATTTGTAGGTCCATGATGGACCTTAGGTCTATAATAGAATTTACCTTAATAATAATATTGTAACAAGGCCTCGTTTTTAAGAATCTTCATGGTTTTCATATTACTTTTTCAGAGAAACAAGGTTGGAAATCATAGCTTTTGTTGGAGGCCAGGAGAGCTTTGAGATAGATGGAGCGAAACATCCTCTTTGCTTTTTGCTTTGAGATACGGCTCCAGCGGAGTCAAGCAGTACGTACCCCTAAAACTCAAAGCAAAGAGGATGATGCCTTTTTTTATGTCGGCCAGACTCTTCTCCGACAATCAACAGGTGGTGGTTGCACCTCAAAAAACTAGTTATGTTTTTTTATTTTTGCTGCTTGCAGGACTCTTTTATTCAGCGTACTTGGATGTTGTGAATCATGCCCTTACTAGAGGGGTTGTGTCGCTCGTCCGTGTTTGGGAGGGTCTTCCTCTAGAACCTATTTTTGCTCTTGTTCAAGTTTAATGATTTCTCCTTTGTTCTAAAATTAAGTGTATAATATGTCAATTTTGATACTCTCTTTGTCTCAAAATTATTGGCAGTTCAGATTATGATATTAACTAATTAATTTATTATAAAATCAATGCAGAAAGAAATAAAATTTACTTATTTTAAAAATTATATAATGTACCAAATAGTAAAATAATTGTATTATTTTTTTAAATAATCAATAAAAAAATTTAAATTACTCATGGAACAACAATAAGTGTAAATAAATTATTTTGTTTAGAAATAAACTTTTGTTACGAGCTTCTCCTTTGCTTGTAGCAAGACCATTCTAATGATTTTAGATGTGAACCTCACCCAAGTTTGAAAAGATAATACATTAGATGTCGATCTAAGTTGTAATAACTCGCCGAAGTTCAAACAATACTTACTTTCAACGACCTTGTTTGAAAATAATAGTTTTGATTAACATCGTTGTTCTATATAAAACTTTAGAGGTACATACTGACTTTAAAAACGTTTAAGCTAAACACCATCATTAAATACTACTCCCTTCGTCTCCCATAAATCTTTTCATTAGTTCTTTTTATTTGTCCATCATAGATTTTTTCATTACCTTTTTTAACAATTAAAATATCACAATTATTACTTTATTTATTACATCCCACCTACCTCATTTAATACACTCGACCCATTTTAATTAAGAGTATTATTATAAACTTTTACCTTTTTTCAACTCTCCTTAAAATTTACGAGAAGTCAAAATGAAAAATATTTTCAAAATATTAACTCTAACATGTTGTTGCTAAACATGTCCATCATCAGTTGTGGGACAAAATAATGGTGACTGGAGCGGCCACTGCCTCAACCGGTCTCGTTCCAATTCCCCTCCGGCACGGCATCCGGTCGGGTCTCCGAACCCGGTACCGGTTCCGGACCTAAACCCTGTCCAACTCTACTCTCGAGTCTTTGATGCGCTTTAGACGATGAACCATTCGTTTTCCCGCAGACGAGCAGTGGCTCGCAACAGAGAGAAACAATGCGGGGAATGAAGGGAGAAATAGAAGCAGTTTCCATCCCATTCCTCTCCCGGTTTTCCTTCCGAGATCCTCCGTCTCCGGCGCAAACATGAGCGTGATCGACATTCTCTTCCGAGTCGACGAGGTCTGCCGGAAGTACGAGAAGTACGACGTCGAGAAGCAGCGCTCCGCCGACGCGTCCCCCGACGATGCCTTCGCTCGCCTATACGCCTCCTTCGATTCCCAAATTGACCTTGCTCTCCAGGTCATCCTCTCTTCTGATCCAATTATTACTGATTGACGCTTTGTGAAACAATTTATCGCGATGATTGATGAATTTTGTGTTTTTTAATGCTTTGAAGAAAGCGGAGATGGCGGGTAGGGAGACCAACAGGGCTGCGGCGGTGGCCATGAAGGCGGAGGTGCGACGATTGAAGGCTCGTTTGTTGGAAGAAGTCCCCAAGCTGCAGAAACTCGCTCTTAAAAAGGTGGAGTTATTTGCTAGCTTATTTCTCCTTGATTTTTGATTCCAGTTCTGTATTTTCATATCCGTTTCGGCATTTTTATGTGGTTCATTTACCATTTCATATTTTGAATTCAGGAAATTGTTGCGAGATTCACATATGACAATACATTTGGGTATATTGAAACAATTTGTATTGATTAAGAAACTAACTCAATCAAAAGCTCAAGTTTATGGTTGAGTCCCAGTAAATATTATAGAATACATTCTAACACAACCCCTTACATGCGTACGAGATTTGTTTTTCTTACTTGAAGCTTCACATGAACAATTATTTTTTAAATTTGGGTGATAGGGAGATTCAAACTCGTGAGCTTTAGTCTAACATGACTCTTATATCTTTTAAAGAGTCAACTCAACCAAGAGCTAAAGCAGTGAAGCTTATGGTTGCAGGGTTGAAAAATATTACCAGTATACACTAACAATGTGGTGTCAATTTGTGGGGAAATATATTTCCAGGATTATGCATTATGGTGCTTTGATGTATCAAACCATACATGGCTTATCAACTATCTGACCATTTGCTTCATTCTTAGAAGTGAAAATGGAATGTATAACAAAATTGGGATTACCAACAGGTTAAAGGTGTCTCGCGAGATGAATTAGCTATACGTAATGACCTTGTACTTGCACTACCCGAAAGAATCCTTGCTATACCTGATGGAACTATTACAACTGCTGCAGTCAAGTCTGGGGTTTGGGGCGCTTCAACGTCTTTTAAGAACATAAAAATTGACTCGGGTAGGTGACACTTTCTTATGTAACTCATTAGACTTTCATCTCTTCAATCTTTGTTTTGTTGCTTGTTCTCTAACAGTGATTTGATTTAAGATCAGATGGGCACCTCAATGATGACTTCTTCCAGCAGTCTGAAGAATCCAGCCAGTTCAGGAATGAGTATGAGATGAGGAAAAGGAAACAGGCTTGTAACATGCTCTATCTTATTCTTCCTCATCATTTGTTTTTTTTTAAAAGTTTTGCATTATGAGCTTATTTCAGGCAATTATTAGTTTTGCACTGAAACCTGTCCCGATTTTGGGCACTGTTCTGTTGCCTTGCACTACGGTGCCACTGGGATTTTGGGGCTCCTATGGTGCCCCGTTCCCAAAATTCATAGTTCATACCCCGCTAACCCTTGGTAAACCCCTCACCCGATCCGACCTGAACTCACCCCCACCTCCCGTAAATTGGACCCACCAAGTTTAGTTGACTTTGGGTTCAAAACTTTGACTTCAAAGTCAACTAAACTTGAGGGGTCTAATTGACGGGGTGCGAGGTTTACCGGGGGTTAGGGGGTAGGAACCATCAATCTTGTGAACGGAGCATCGAGATGTCTAGTGACTCACAGTGCAGTGGCACTGGAACCTCTCCGGTTTCAGTATATCATTGAACCTATGTCTGAATGTTTGCAGGATCAAGGACTGGATGTTATTTCAGAAGGTCTGGACACGCTGAAGAATCTGGCTCGTGATATGAACGAGGTTAACTCGCAACCCCTTTTGATTTGTCCTTCCATATTCTACAAAAAGCAAAAGGAATCTAGTTGAAGGGAAATGAGATGTACTAATTGTTTCTATATTCCATCTGTTGATTTTGCATTCCTTTTCTTCGACCAGGAATTGGATAGACAAGTTCCACTGGTTGATGAAATTGAAACAAAGGTTTGGATAATTATTTATGACCATTAATTAATTGATTGCACTCTTTATGAATATTGGAATTATTGTTCTCCAATGCCCTTCTGGTGTCTTCTTAGGTGGACAAGGCATCATCTGACTTAAAGAACACCAATGTTAGACTCAAGGAGACTATTACTAAGGTATTTATTGATAACATCCATTTGGAAAGGGTTATTTAGCTACAAAATGACTGAATCTGCAGAATTTTCTGTAAGCAAAAGCCTACTTGTTATGTTTATTCACCTGGATAAACTGAATAAGCCAGTTTTGGCTGCCAAAGGAGGCCTTGTTAAAATGAAAACTTAAATCTGTTTTAGAGAATCTTATTCATTTCTATGTTTTGTTCCAGGTTAGGTCCACCCAAAACTTCTGTATTGATATCATTCTTCTGTGTATCATTTTGGGGATTGCAGCCTATCTATACAAGTGAGTCCTCTGAATAAATCATCAAATAGCATTTATTTTCTCTTGCAACTAACATATTCTGATCAGCAAGTACCACTTCAAAGAATTTGAAGTTACCAAATGCTCCCTCCCCAAAATTAATTTGCTAACTTTAACTTCACCTAGATAAAAAAAGTGTTGAATGGTAAAAAGCGAGTGCTTAAAATTTGTGTAGAAGAGAAAGAAGTATTTTGGACCACACATTTTTTTCTAAAACAGAAAAGAAAAAAACTCAGAAAACAATTGATTTTTTTTTAAATAAAATAAAACCCAATTTTCTGTGTGCAGCATACTGCAGTGATTTATATTGGAGCTTCATTTGACCCTTATTTGGTTTCTGTCATGGATGGGCAAGGACCTCTGTGATTCAGCAACTATCACTTCCTTCTAGTGAAATTATTGAGTTGAGAATATGAATAATAATTACTGGCCTTTTCTTGTTTCAATTTTTGTTTTATATTTGTGATAGTAACAACTGTAAAAGCATTTACATCTGTCAAGGTATAAAGTGCTGTGTTTGCACACCAAATTTGTTAATACTACTTTGCTATGGTGGCTTCTGTTTTTATATGGGAAAGTTTTCTTTTATACAAACTCCAAAGCCCTTCAACTAAACAAGGGCTAAGGAAGAGCTTTAGGGGTTACTTAAAAACTTTGAAATCCCATTTAAGAAATTATTGAAAATAGGAATAAAACTTGGTCTTCATACCAAAATAGGGGTGACAAGATTTTATTTCTAAATTAAGATTATTGCACAATAACAACATGACAATCTGTTTTGACATTCTATAGTACTTTTTTGGTACTATATGTCGGCATTATTAACATTATACGGAGTAAGTTCTAATTTGGGATAAAAATGTGATGATCCTATTTTGATTCTTTACCAATATTTTATTCATATTTTAGTCTTTTCCCCTATTACTATATTACGTGTGTGCATTCTCACCACCCAAACCCTATTGAACAATTTTATAATATATTTAAAAGTTGTGCTTTCTCTGCAATGAGTTAGCATTAATATAAAAAGTTAAATAAAATTGTAAAAGGAAAAAAAACTTTAAATGTACTCCGTAATAATGTAGATTTATACTATGCATAATTTAATGATTAATTACATTTATAATGTAGTGGGTAAATAGGAGTGATAATATACATTTGAAGAATGCCTCTTTGTTCCATTTGAGATCCACACCATTTTTTGTAGATTTTTTTTTACATAAATTTCGTTTGAATTTTTTTTTACAAAAGATGCTTATCAAGTACAGGGAAGTAGTCATTTACTTACCCCTTTCAAATTCGAAATAACTCAGATGAAAAAAAATTGAATCCAACAGATTTGTAATAGTTCTAGTTACTATTTCCACTTCCTCTAAAAAGTGTAATAAGAGATGAAAAAGCTGGCAAAATTAATTTTAATCTCAACAACTTAAAAGCAGATATTTTTTTAATGCTTTTTTGGGCTGCAAGAATGTAAATTGAGAAAATACAAACGAAGAAAGAAATGACACTTCAAAAATTGAATTTTCAGTAGACAATTAATTATTAAGGCACTCAGTCCATCAAATCACCACCGTCCAACCAAATCCACACCTTTACAACAAACGGACCAAACTTCACCACGTGGCACAATCACACAAGCGTTACCACATTAGCCCAACCGAAACAGCCACTCCAACGACCGCCACGACCGCCATGCCATGCACGCCAACCGCACCCGACGCCTTCTCCGGCGTAGCATCTTCGCCGGATACCGGACCTCCGGCCACCTTACCCTTCTTTTCCGACTTCTTCGGAGACGGTGCGGACGCCGGCGCCGGAGGCCCGAAGAGGCCGATGGGAAGAAGCACCTTGTCCAACTGGTACACCGCCAGCTGGCCATCCGTGTAAACGGTGTTAGCCAGCGTGGCGTCGACCACTCCGGTGGTGACGTTGACTTGGTTCCCGGTGGCGGTGACGTTCAGCGGGAAAGCTCCGGCGCCGTTCCCGGCTTGCGTCCTCAAAGGGTTACTAGCAGTCTGGAACTGGGAGATGGAGTAGAAAGAGGAGAGGACATGGAACTGAACCAATTCGACCTTTTCCTGGTCGGACAAGGAGTTCAGGGTTCCGGGTTTTAGCCCCGAGAACGCGTTGTCGGTCGGGGCTAAAACCGTCAAACCCTGGTTGGAATTGTTAAGCTGGGTGTCGATCTGGGCACCGACTTGGGTGGCTTTGAGGAGGCGGATCAGGGTCGTGTACTGACCCGCCTTCTCGAGGATTGCGGTTATGTTGGTCGGACCCGGTGGGGCCGGTCCGGCTGCCGCCGCCGCCGCTTGTGCATGGGGAATGGGTATGGCGGTGTAAGTGGAGCATTGGAGGAATGTTGCAGCTAGGAAGAAGAAGAAGGGAATGGAAGAAGAGACTGTGAAATGCTTCATTGTGTTTGTCTTTGTTTTTCTTTCTTTCTTTCTTTCTTTCTTTTGGATGGGAATTGAAGATGGGAGAAGACCGGGAGAGGCTTATAACTTATATGGAGAAGGATATATAGAAAATATTCCTTCCCGATTTAATCTTTTCGTTTTAACTTTTCTCCATTTTTAAGAAAGCTTGACTTTAGAGTAAATTTGTCTAAAATAGGATGAATTTCCCGAAAATACTCATATTAAGAAATACTTGAACAGAAAAAAAATGAAAGATTAAATAAGAGCGGAGAATAAAATTATTACAAACAAGTGATAATAAAAATATTTTATTTCATCAAATAATCAATCAAAACACATGAATAAAAAAAATTCTCATAAATTTAGAATAATGAAGAATGAAGATAATTTGGGAATGGAGGGAGTATAATTATACTCCGAGTACATAAATATATGTGACTAGTTGATATGTCAAAACTTGATCTCAATATTAATCCAATGAAAGAGAATTTACCTTAAAATTAAATTTATCTTTATTATAATTTGTGATCAAAGTTTCTAAAATGTGACTAAGAAAAGTCAATTGTTAAGACGCAAACAATATTAAATTACCTCGTGTCCCCACCCGTTGCAAAATAAAGTCCCCGTTACCATTTAGAATGTTACTCCGTAATTTTTTTTCAATTTATTTGAAAATTAGTGTAAAATTTAAAAAAAAAATATTTAAACATTATATTGAAGTTTAGAGAATTCAAAAAAGGTAAAAACAGAACCAAATACAATTATTACTCCAATCGTTCTTAAATAAACTTCACATTTTGATTTACGATATTTGACAAAAGTTGTGCTAATCAATTTATTCAAGTACTAGAGTATCACACTAAAATGTGTAGTTTAAGGATAGAATAATACTCTAATTTAATTTCACTTTTATATATAAAAAATTATGGCGAATATCATTTCTTCATCTTATCAAATCTAAACCACACTTTTTTTAAAAAATGTATTAAACACCACAAACTATCCGTCTTGAGGAGTATTATCATTGGTTTCCCTTGTCAACCCCTCCCCCCAAGTTTGGTGAGGGGTCTCACTAAGCTCGAAAATCAAAGTCGTTTCATATAGAAATACGCACACTTTGGGTCTCATTTTTTCCCCTTCTCATTTACCTACCAAATATGGGTAAACAAACAAATTACAGCTAGCACAAGTTGAGTCATTGTGTCAATCTATGCAATGCGTGTACTAGTTTATATATATATATATATATATATATATATATATATATATATATATATATATATATATATATATATATATATATATATATATATATATATATATATATATATATATATATATATATATATATATATATATATATATATATATATATATATATATATATATATATATTTATATATATATATATATATATATATATATAACGTAGAATTTAATGTTTATAAAGGTGTTTGCTTGGAAATATGGCATGTAAAAAAATCAAACATTTCCTCCAAGTGGCATGTGGGTGATGATACAAAGCCAACATTTTCTATGATTGCTTCTATTATTGCACTTGTGTAACATCTTTTTTTATAACTTGAGAAACATTGCAAGTAAAGATAAACAAAAGTGGTTGGTATATACTAAATGTTATTTTTTTTATTTTACATTGGTGACACAAACATAATTTATCTGTAAAATAAGTGTTCCATTTTCCACTGTGGAAATGGTTGAGAAATGATGCAACGCCTACACTAACATTCCATCATGGTGATGCAAACTGGCAGTTGTTAGCAAGTCTATTTATGGTGACAATTAAAGATGAACTAAAATTTCCCATCCCCTGATGACTGAATTAGCCTTGCACAATCTATGAATCCAAGGGTGGCAACAAAAAGGGCCAAAAATGTAAATTCATTTAGAGCCCTCTCCAGTGACTACATAGGAGCAAAACTGTTAGTTTAGTTTCATTGCACAGAAGAAACTCCTTAACCACCTTCTGCATTCGCTAAAGCCTCCTCGGCTTTTATTTTTTCGGGTACAAAATCTAACCCAAAAAATAAAAAAAATGCACGTGAAAATGCAGGAAATTAGCAAATTATAAAGAAAGGTGACGTTGATGAAGAATATTGGTCAGAAAAAGGTTAAAATATACTGTTATTGGTGTGATACCTGAAAGGAAATCAAATCTCTTCCTTTTACAAACAACAGATGCTGAAAAGCAAAACCCAAGGCAATAATAATAATCTCAGTTCAATAGGCTTCGGATGGAATTTGTTCGGTAGGAAGAAAATGTATGAAGTAGGAAGAACTTACAGAGATGATCGTATCCAACATAAGGCTTACGAGCCAAAAAAGCGCAAGCGTAGGCCTCCTTGGAGAATAGGTCAAGAAACTTTTCCTACATCCACAAACATAAACACGTAAGGCTCAGCTCACACAGAGCGCATGGCACGAACATGCGAATAAAAAATCTTGGAGTTATCTCTACAGCAAGTACAGTCATTCGGGAGGAAAATCGGCGTATTTATTTTATGAAAAAAGGGTATTTTCTAAATTGTTCAATGCTTCAGTTAACCACAAAAAATAAAACAATCCAGTGAGGTGCCACGAGTTGATGTTTCTGAAAGACCCTTGGTTCAAGAAAACATAAAATCTTGATGGAACAAAAAAATGAGAAAAGGGCATTAAGTGAAAAAAATTGTGTAAAGAGAAATGGTGAGTAGATAACAACACAGTATATTCCACGAAAGAATATTTGGCTTATAAGCAGCTTATAAGTTAAAAACTGTTTATCATCAATTAGCCAATAAGTACCAGCACAGGAAAACACCCCATAAATTTCTCATATAAGAATTACCCTACAATGTTAATCTTCAACCTCCAAACTCCCATATTAGTATCATGTCCTCTGTGAGCTGCGAAAAATCACATGTCATATTGTCATGTCCTAGCACCTCCCCCAACTATTCCTAGGTCTACCCCCACCTCTCCTCAAACACTTCACTAATAACCTCCCGTATCTCCTCACGGGGCATCAAAGCTTTTTCTCTTACCAACAGTATTTTCATTGCATCCTCAAGCCTCTAAGTTCTGATAAGAACTATGTGTTGACGACACAACTTTCATTATCATTACCCAATCGTCAGTTTGTCACAAAATGTTCTAAAACCCTTTAAACTAATATACTAAATAATGTATATCCCGACTAAACATGCCATGCATCCAAGAGAACAAACAAGGCATGCTTGGTAACCAGTAACTATAACTAACAAGCAAACCAAGTGACCGTAAAAAATGAAAGCTGATACTTTTCTCAAACTCCATTTTTAATTGGGATCACGAGGATACTATACTTGAAAAATAGCATTCTGAGGTAATTAGGTAAAACCTTGGACATCATAGGGATCATGATCCATTCACTGTATCAATGATATTTTAATCTTGGATATTACACTATACAATATCTACACTTTCCAACTTCAACATCATGAAAAATAATGTATAAGATTACACCAAATTCCAGACCGTGAGAATCTGGAATATCTAGAGATGCACTGCCAATTGCATATCCTAATCTTTTCAATTACTTACTTCCACTGGTTACTTGATAAATTTGCACCAGGACATTGCACTAACGCAGTCCCCAATAAGTTATGCATTCTTTTGAGCGGAAGATTATTATATCCTTACGAAGCCATGTTGTTTGGAAATTAATGCTATCCTAACAAATAGCAGTATGGAATACCTATTTCATTGATTGCACAGAAAATCACAAAGTTGAAGTTTTTACTTGAGAAAAAAACTGTAAAGAGGCAAACAGATAAATGAGTGGAGTTTATCCCATTTAGCCGTGAATTGAGATGCCAAAATCTAAATTAATGACAGAAACGCTTATGCACCACACTAACATGATAAGGCATGCATGTAAGGACTTAGAGGATCAATTCAAACTCAGTAAGATGTATAACCTTTGAGCTAAGCAGAGAACGCTTTGAATTTACCATAGTCGAACATTACAAATGCCATGTACAAATTCATTACCGTGGATATAAAGGGTATCCTTTTTTTGTCCATTCAATTTGACGACTCAACATCGAGGCTTAGTGTCTCAAGAATCATAGTAAGATACAGCATTGGTGGTTTTGGACTTTTACCAACAACTATTAGCATGCACACTCTGTGTGGATGACCACATCTAAAAGACTACTGTTTTTGTCAAAACTAAATGCTTACAACCTGCAGATTGGGACTTCTAGAGCTATATAAACCCGAGCTTTTTATTTTTTACCAAATTCCAAGAGCTATATAAACCCGAGTTTTTTATTTTTATTTTTTACCAAATTCCAAGAAAAGGATTAATAATCCGTGGTCCAATATATGAACAAAACATGAAGCAGAATGCTCAGTTTTCAAGTTGCTTACCGAGCGATTCCATATTACTACAATTCTACTGATTTTAATCCAAATATTTTTCATTCAATTAAGATTGGAAGTTTGTGAGTGGTATAAGCAGTGTTTTGATTCAAAACTACAAGCATTGTTTTGATCCAAAATTATCTTTCATAAAGCTCCCCCATGTATTTATGCAATGTTTCTGATGAGTTAATTCTCATGATATGAAGATACTCCACAACATTCAAGCATAGACAGGTAATGTTACTAAAATGACTCCCTATATTCTGCTTCTTAAGCATACATATACCGTATTCCATATTATGGATAGAAGTACTAAGATTTATGGGGAAAAAAACTATATGAGATTTCAGACGTACCGTAGCTTTATTGATAACAAAAGTTGCTTCTTGAGAAACATTGGTATTACTGATTTCACTCTTGATTATCCTACTCACTCGACTCATTGGGAACTTATACAATATGCTCTCACACTTAACTTCCTTTTCCGCCGCCTCCTCCTCCTCTTGGTCCTTCCTTTTCCCCTTGGAATCAGAAACTCTCTTTGCCCCATTTTCTACTTTCTTTTCACTCTTTATATCCCGTTTCTCAACCACTTCCTTGCTCACCCTACTAATCTGTCCATTACTCTTGACCTTTTTTGCTACAACCGGTCCAATACCCTCTTCATCATCTTCCTCCAATTTCCCATTCTTCTTCCTCTTACTGTCATCTTTCTTTCCCTGTCTTGATTGGCTCTTATCACCACTACCACTACTACTCTTCACCTTTTTAGCTACTTTTCCTCTAACCTCTTCATCATCTTCCACCCTTTGCTTCCTCTTATTCGTCTTCTCATCCCCCTTTTTGGGAGTGGTTTTTGTGTTTCCACTACTCTCCCTCACTTCTCTTTTCTGATTCTTCTTCACATTACTACTCTCTTTCACTTTCAAAATCTCCTCTTTCTTACCATCAAGCTTCTTTTTGATCTCTTTCTCCCCATTCTTCGTCTGCTTACTCTTTTTCTCTTGACTCACGGCACCCTTCGCCTGCTTAACAGCTAATCCCCGATTCGCTTTCGTTTTAGCATTACAATTTTTCTCAGCCTTAGTTTGTTGAGATGAACCAGCATTGCCTTTGCCCTTCTTCACTTCCCTCTCCCCCTGTTTCTCTTTTTCGATGTCTCTCCTCTTAGTACTCGGATTTTTCTCCAATTTCTGGCATTTTCCTAGTCGATTGCCATAGGCATTGCCATTAGCCCCATCCCCATCGCCTACTTTTTCATCATTAAGGAACTGATTTCCTCCTTTTTCGGCCTCATTCTCATCTTCTTCTTCTGAGAGGAACTCAATACCTGCAGCGCCTCTTCCGGCGCCCTTTTCCGAATCGGTGCTATGAGCTGATTCAGCGGCGGTCTCGAGCTCATCATCGTTGACGGCAACGATCGCCGCCGTCCTTCCCGAATCAGTTGCAGGTTTCTTCTTAGTCTGTGTACGATTTTGAGAGACTTTTCTCCCTTTCCTTGTATCAGCTCCACCTCGATTCTTCGCCATAGCTCTCTCTCTCTCTCTCTACATCAGAGAACCAGTTTTGATTCCGGTTGTAGAGGACTGTTTTGGGCCGGGACGACGGCCTTCTGCTTATTTTCGTTCAACCCATTGTTTTTTTAGGGCCTAAATTGCGAGCAAGTGGAGTCCATGGCGGCTTCGTAGACCCTCTCATTTTTAGCCCAAGTCAACAAATGAGAGTGATCTCCTATTCTCTCCCATAGTATTATACCTGAACTATTTTGTGATTAATTACGCAATATATACCGTACAACCAGTTGTAGATATTTCTCGTACATCCACGACGAGTGTTCATTTACGACTAACTGAATACTCATTTCTTTAAAATTTATTTATACTAAAAAATGAGCATTCAGTCATTCATAAATGAGTATTATGTTACTCGAAAATAAATAATTAGTTACTCGACATTGAATATTCATACAAATTTGTGAGAAACACCGTACATCCGAATGTATGATACAAGTACTCGACTAATTAAATTAGTCATTAAATATTTTTCCCTCATTGAAAAAATAGTGTTTTCAACGAATCCCAAGGGATTGATCCAGGAAATTATAGTACAAAGTTGTGAAATAACTTTGTGGCACATAAGATCTTTACATTATAATATAATCAATATCTTTCAGAAAAAAACAATGTGTGGAGTGCATATATTAATTCCCCGCAGGTAACCGTCCGGCCTCTCTTCTTAAAAAGGTTCCGGTTCTTGCAAAGAAAAAGGACCCATTTGGAATAGCATTTTCGATTAGCGTTAGTATTTTAGATAAAATTTTAATAGTATAGATTAACCTTGAATGTGCTAATACTAAACGCCGCTTGTACATAACTTTTTCAAAATGCTAACACTATTCCCAAACAAGCTCCATGTCCCTTACTCGATGACGTTGGTGTTATTGAGGAGTAGGGATGACAATTCAACCTGAACCCGATCTTAACCGATCTGACCGAACACTAAAATATTCAAACCCAAACTTAGAATAAAATAATCCGAATCCGACCCAAATTTTTTTACCCGAACCCGACATCGAGTCCGGCCAGGAGTAAGTTTATAATTTTACCTGACCTGAACCAAATATTTTATAACCTAAACCGTATCTACGGATATAATGAGCACTTCGTATAATTTTTTTTTTCAATTTTCTGGCGCAGTCGCATCTCTCTTGGTCCTTACATTGCATCTCTGTGTGTTTTCCATTCTCCTTGTATGGTTCTTCTTTCCTTGCATCTCTTTCTTAGTTCCTTCCTCGCATCTCTCGTCTATCTACTGTTTTGTTCATATTTCTAGCCACGTAATCGTTTTGACAAGGTGCTACTATACCAAGTATCCCTTTTATAATTATTTTTACAATTCCTCAATAAAAAATGAGACAAAAAAAGAGACACAAAAAAATTTAGATTTGTTCTTTTTAAAATTCTTGAGGCATGCCGAATTGGCTAAATTACATATTCGGGTTCAGGTTTTGGTTTTAAATGTCAGATTCGGATCGGATTAGTTTTTTTATTTAAAAGTTAGGTTTCGACTCGGGTTCAAATTTTAAAAGTCGACTTGGTTTCAAGTTTCGGGCTTAAACGCCGGATGAAGTTCGGGTATAGTACTATCCAATCCAAACCTCATCACTATTGAGGAGGGGCCCACAATTTGAAACAACCAAAAGGATAACACTAACTTCTTCATTGCCTTTTGGGGAGTGAGGGGGGGGCCGTTGCGTTGATAATTTGATCATTCCCCCCTACATTATTATTATGTCGCCTCCCACGTACTGTCTAATTAAAGTTAAAGGAGACCCCCCGCCTGAGTAGCTGTCCTGTAATGAAGGCACGCATTTAATAATTATCAGACTAATTGAACCGCCGGAAGAAGATGACGGCGGCGGCACGGTTGGTTTTCGGCGTCGTCACGCGTCGTACGGATAAGATGCGGCGCCTTCCCCTTTCCGCCCCCAACAATAATGCGGAAGAGATAAGATAACAGAAACTTGGAAAGATACAAAAAGCCAATAAAAGACATTCTTGGAGTTACCCAACACAAACATTATAAGCCAATTAAGGTATCCACTTGCTGAAGCAACCACCTTTCATCTCATACAAAACTAACCCGCCACTCCTCTCCCTCCCTCCCTCTCTCTCTCTTCTTTGCCATTATATATATATAAATATATTCACACAGGCATTTCGTCGAAAAGGTGGACTCCTACTGCTCTGAACGAACAACTTTACCACCATCATGGCTGGGAACAGAGCTGGGGTTCTGGCGGCGGTGCTTGCGGTGGTTCTGCTGCGATGCCTGACGTCGTTCGCCGTCAATGTGACGTATGACCACCGTGCGCTGGTCATCGACGGCAGCCGGAGGGTGCTGGTTTCCGGCTCCATTCACTACCCCCGCAGCACTCCCGATGTAAGAGCTAGCTCATCACGCAATTTCCCTTTTCTTTTTTGTTTGTTTGTTTGTCAAATGCGTGCACGTATGTGTGGTATAACTGTACAATGAAAGTTATGTGAATTGGTTTCTGCAGAAGTAATAATAATAATAATATGTGAATGCAGATGTGGCCGGACTTGATACAAAAGTCCAAAGATGGAGGTTTAGATGTCATAGAAACTTATGTTTTCTGGGACTTGCATGAAACAACTCGTAACCAGGTACTTTTTCTAGAAGTTTGAGATTTTGGTTGCGTTAGTTCTTCAACATCTAAAGATGGAACTCCAAGAATCTTAACAAAATCGTGCAGTATGATTTTGAAGGGAGGAAAGATTTGGTGAAGTTTGTGAAATTGGTAGGGGATGCTGGCTTATATGTTCATCTACGAATTGGGCCTTACGTCTGTGCCGAGTGGAACTATGGGTAAACATTTCTGATCAGTACTTTCTTGCATTTTACAAAACTTTTTTGGAGATTAGAATCTGGTTATTGACGGGTAATGAATCTGAAAACTTGACCTGAATTTGAACAGTGGGTTTCCCCTCTGGTTGCACTTTATACCCGGAATTGAATTTCGGACCGACAATGAACCATTTAAGGTTTCCCCCTACCTCAACCTTCTGCTGCATTCACATTTTTTATTTGGCACCCTTTTCCTCAAAGAGTTTGAATTACAGGTTGAAATGCAGAGGTTTACTGCCTTTATTGTTAACATGATGAAGCAAGAAAAGCTCTATGCATCTCAAGGTGGCCCAATTATATTGTCTCAGGTAACCATCTTTTTCCGGTTATATCACATTTGATTGTTATTCTCGCACATATTGGCATATCCAAGCCTTGGGCCACTGCTAATATGAGTGTGTTGTTTTTGTCTGAAATCACTAGGCTGAATTGAGATCAACTGAAAGATAGTTGTAATTTTAACTCAAAACATGTTGAATTTGACTTCGTTGAAGTCGAAAAGTACATACTCTACAATGTTTATTTTTAGGTTGAATTCAAAGCCTTAATTTTTTTTCATTTGTGGACATAATAACCCAATCTATATAGAGTTCTCAAGAATTGAGAGTTATTCAATCCTCCCTTGTTAAGATGATTATTTGGTCATGTTGAGTTGATTGAACATACCTTCAGTACTTGTTCTTTCAATAGAATTTAGCTGACATGAGATAACTCCGACGCCATTCATTATGCAGATTGAAAATGAGTACGGTAATGTCGCTTCAAGTTATGGTCCTCGTGCTAAAACTTACATCAATTGGGCAGCGGCTATGGCTACCTCTTTGGATACAGGGGTACCGTGGATTATGTGCCAGCAAGCCGATGCTCCCGATCCTATTGTAAGTTCCTATTGTGCTAACACGTTTTGTGTTTCCTTGAGCCGAGGGTCTTTTGGGAACCTCTCTACCTTTGGGTAGGGTTAAGGTCCATCTGCATACACCTAACACCCTGCCTAGACCTCATTTGTGGAAACTTGTTTTGTTGTTGTGGCGTGTGTAAGTAACACACACACCCTGAGCTCATCGTGTTTGACAATATGATATGAAGCAACACATTTTTACTCATTAAATATATATTTTGAACAATGACAGATAAACACTTGCAATGGGTTCTATTGTGATAACTTTACGCCTAATTTTGCCAAGCCAAAAATGTGGACTGAGAATTGGAGCGGATGGTAAGATTTCCTTCTTCCCCAAAAGATGTGTGTGTGTGTGTGTGTCCGTGCACGCATGCAGACATTAGAGCAAACTAAAAGCATAAGCTTTTAGTGGTGGTTCAAGTGCCATGAAACCATAAAAGTCTTTTAAACCTGATTGATTCTTTGGAATTTTAGGTTTTCTGCATTTGGTGGTCCTGTACCATACAGGCCTGTGGAAGACCTCGCCTTTGCAGTTGCTAGGTTCTATCAGCGCAACGGAACGTTCCAAAACTATTATATGGTACTTTGTTAATGATATAATCAATAATGCTTTTCTCAGTTTTAATGTTTAGTCTTTAGTTTTATTTTGATAATGCCATCGGTTTTACTTGAAAAATAAAATTGGGTCATGTTAATTAGTACCATGGAGGAACTAACTTTGGGAGATCCAGTGGAGGACCATTTGTTTCAACAAGCTATGATTATGATGCACCTCTAGATGAGTATGGTAAACATCTTAATCTTCAATACCTTAATACTCTATCGGGCCTCGGCTTGTGTAACAGTGTAAACCACTTTTAATAATTTTTTCTAACTTGTTCGAGTCTTAATTCAAGATTGGCATAACAAGAGTATCTTATATACGAGTAATACTCTATATCATTATTATGATTTATTACTTTCAAACAGTCTGTAAGAGAGTTTGAAAAAGTGTATGTTGCATGTTTCAGGCCTTCTAAGACAGCCAAAATATGGTCATTTGAAAGATTTGCATAAGGCTATAAAGCTTTGTGAAGAGGCTATGGTGTCAAGTGATGCTAGCACCACTTCTCTTGGATCAAATTTGGAGGTATATGGACACTTGCTTCCTCATTTTCATCCTCATATGCATTACATAGAATATGTAGTCTAGAAATAACTGTGGAGATTCATAGAGAGAGGAACTTGTGAGTTTTTAAGTCCTTCGGTTAGACTAATTAATCAATTAGATTCACTCTTTAAGAGAAACTATTGAGTGGCTCCAACTCAATTTGGTTTCAATCAATATTTTAGCATGAATACATTTGGTAGTTAAACATCATATTGGTTATGCAACAACGAGAACCAATATGCACCCACAGGAACACAATATAGATCACGCAATATGCATTTTTATCAATGCTTTTTCCCGTTGTTGCCATGGTAAAAGAAGCTATTTCATGTTTCAGGCCACTATATATAAGAAGACAGAATCAGGGCTGTGCTCTGCTTTCCTAGCAAATTTTGGTGCCGTATCAGATGCAACTGTTAACTTCAATGGCAATTCTTATCACTTGCCTGCCTGGTCAGTCAGCATCTTACCAGATTGCAAGAATGTTGCTTTTAATACTGCTAAGGTAATTTATTTCCACCTTTTTTTTACCATAACAACAATGCAACTTGTCTAAAAGTTACCGTCCTCTAATCAAACGCTCTCTTTTACATTGTGGTGACAGATAAACTCTGTTGCAACCATCTCCAGCTTTGTGAGTCAATCTTCAAAAGCCGATAACTCTGAAGCATCTTTATCTGACTGGAGTTGGATTACGGAACCAGTTGGTATATCAAGTGATAATGCATTTACAAGAGTTGGTTTAGTAGAGCAAATTAACACAACAGCTGATCAAAGTGACTATTTGTGGTACTCTCTAAGGTATCAAATTCGTTCTCGGAGACGATTTTTTCGATCCCCTTAGATGATTCCTAATTTTAACCTTTCCCACTGGCATTATAATTGCAGTATTGACATCAAAGGTGACGAGCCTTTCCTGGAAGATGGGTCACATGCAGTTCTTCATGTGCAATCACTTGGTCATGCACTTCATGCCTTTGTCAATGGAATCTTTTCAGGTGAAGTTAAATGAAAGTCACTGCAGGACTACTACTTTTCATTCTTTTTTATTTTTTCAGAATAGTAAGAGATATGAAAAATTCATGCATATGCTCCCAAAATTTCAATATTTTTACAAAAAGGAGTTATTTGTAATACTGAAATTAATATTACAAACACGACTCTTTTTTCAGGACGTAGAGACTCTAGAGAGTAATAGTCATTAACACTATTTATTCAATAATGTTCATTGATGCGTGCTAAATGATGCGACATTATGTTAAAGCAAACATGTCATTACTGCATAATTCCTCATTTTTTGTAATGCATTATAGTTTTCTTGATCATATATTAACGATTTTAGTAGTGTTCAACAGGCAGTGGAAGGGGAAACAGTGGCAACTCCAAAGTCGTATTAGATGTTCCCATCAACCTTTTACCAGGGGCAAATAAAATTGACCTCTTGAGTTTGACAGTTGGACTACAGGTTTGATAGATCTGTTTTTATTAAATCCAAAAGCACTATCCAGGCTTGACATTTGATACATTTGAGGCTTGTTTGGTTGGGGAATTATGTAGGGGAGGGTTGATTTCTGTTTTACTAATGTAGCTCTATATGTTATCTAAGCCATTATATAATTTATATTACAACTATCAAGAAACTTATGGCCATGTTTAGAAGAAATCTCATCTGAGATCTGACATAAATTTACATTTGGCTAAAGAATTATGGAGGGCATTATGATCTAAGAGGGGCAGGGGTTACCGGTCCAGTGCAGTTGAAAGGTTCAAATAGTAGCTCAATCACTGATCTTTCATCGCAGCAATGGAAGTATCAGGTTTTTTTTCTATATTCATTCTCATTATTTGTCAATTAAAATGGATGCATGCATACACACCTTTTCACTTACCCATTTCAGAATTTGAAATGCAGATTGGGTTAAAGGGGGAAGAATTAAGCTTGTCTGATGGAGTTTCATCACTCTGGACATCAGGATCTAGTTTGCCCACCAACCAACCATTAATATGGTACAAGGTAACATTTTTAGATTGTTTTGTTGATGTTATATTCATTTTGAATGTACCAATATATCATTACAGGATTCACAGTTACTGAATTGTCTTGTTCTCTTTGCAAAAGCTATATATGGGGTGGTTAAACAGTTTTTTTGTTCTTTCAGACAACCTTTGATGCACCGGACGGTGATAATCCTCTTGCCATAGATTTCACTGGGATGGGGAAAGGTGAAGCATGGGTTAATGGTGAAAGCATTGGACGGTATTGGCCAGCGTATACTGCTTCAACCACCGGAGCTTGCACCAATTCTTGTAACTACAAGGGACATTACGACGACCGAAAATGCCTCAAGGATTGTGGAAAGCCATCTCAGACATTGTAAAGTTTTAAATTTTAAAATAAAACACCATTTTACGCTCCACTAGAAACCGTTAAGAATGTTTCTCGCCAACTCTGTATTAGTATGATATTGTCTATTTTGGACCAAATCTTCACGGATTTGTTTATGGGCACCTTTCAAAATGCCTCATACTAATGGAGTTGGGTGAACGCTTATTCCAACATGACAGTTGATTTGCTTCCCAACAAAAACTTATCACTAACCAAATTTGGACGAATTCTGCAGTTACCATGTTCCTCGTTCGTGGCTAAAACCAAGTGGAAACGTTCTCGTTTTATTCGAGGAAACGGGTGGGGATCCAACACGGACATCATTTGCAACTAGAGAGGTTGTGAGTGTATGCTCGAGAATTTCCGAGTCTCATCCGACCCCTATAGACATGTGGACGATCTCTTCAGACGCGCAAAAGCAAGCGGGGCCCACCATGTCTCTCGAGTGCCCTCATCCTGACCAGCTCATTTCTTCCATCAAGTTTGCAAGCTTTGGGACCCCTCATGGGACATGTGGAAGTTATAGCCATGGGAAATGCAGCAGCAGCAATGCTCTTTCCATTCTACAAGAGGTTAAAAATAAGACCCCAACACTTCTTTTACCATCATAAGTTTATTCACTTTTGAATGATTGTTACTAACTTTGAGTTCACTTTTTAAACAATTTAATCACAGGCTTGCCTTGGATCAAGAAGCTGCAGTGTTGGTGTGTCAATCAATACGTTTGGCGACCCGTGCACGGGAGTTACGAAGAGTTTAGCCGTTGAAGCGTCGTGTACATGAATGTCAATACACATAATACAACACATAGAAGTTTAGTATATCTTCTCCAAGTAAAGCTCATATACCAATCTTTGGCCCTTCACTTTAATTTTATGTATGAAAGTGTAAAAGAATACTAAACTTATGAATCACAAATAAAAGCGAATGCATGAATCAAGAAAGGAAGCTCTTTAAAATGGTTTTTAACACTAGTTTTGAGTGTATATTATGACACCAGGGTTTCTATAGTGCTCTGTTCGATATATTTGTAGAAAATATTGTAGAGCTCGCAAATAATGACCCAATGTCATTATAGCATCTAAGGTGGGTGTCAAAAGATTTTTTCCTTGTTAATTTACTACAATATACTCTCTCCGTTCCAAATTGTTTGCTACATTTTGAAAGATGTGCAAAATATCATCTTTTTTAAAATCATTTTATAACAAATTGGTAGAGAAATGAAAAGTAAGAATTATACCGTTCAAAAGTATATTCAAAGTTTTACAAAACAAGATACGATAAAAATATTTTATTTTGTCAAATCGTCAACCAAAATGACTAAACAAACAAAAGTTATCGAGAGACTAAATAGTGTGGCATTGTTTTTGGGACGAAGGCAATATTATTATTGGTGAATGAGTAGTGTCGGCAAGGGGGATGAAGTAGCTCAACAGGGAAGGGCACCCCAAAAATTTGGGGCCGTGCGAAAGATAGAGTTCACCGTTTCATTTGACTGGTTATTTTGTTTATGCACTACTGCGAAATATGTAGACAAATTTACAACCTAAAATAAGAGGATATAGATGAGATATTAAAATTAAGAGCCTGGAATGTAACCTCACTTAACTTGTGTAACATCGTGACGATGGGGCGGGCGTTACTGTTGCTGTAGATTAGCCGTAACGCCCCCTATGTTGTGACCATGACGACACCCAGGGCGTGACAGGGGCATTTCAGAGAGGCCTTGAAGGCGACCATGGGCGTTGCCCGTCTCGTTTCCTACACCGATTGTTTCCAACTACCAATTTTTTTGTCCGTGGGCTATATTTTATTTTTTTCTTTCCCTATAACAACAACAACCCAGTTGAATCCCACTACAGTAGGGTCTGGGGAGAGTGTGTGTATGCAAATCTTGCCCCTACTCGGAAGTGGGGAGGCTGTTTCCAAGAGACCCCGGCTCCAACTGCTTTCTTTCCCTATAAGTTACTACCTCCGTCCCAATTTATAACGCCTGTTTCGGTTTACGATGTTTAACTGAAATTATTTTCAAACCATTTTATATGACAAATGGTATAGAATTAAAAAATAAAAATTACATATTAAAAAACTACATCAAAAGATCTACAAAACTAGTAGTGACAATGATATTTTATTTTATCAAATTGCTAACGAAAATAGAGAAAGAAAGTGAATAAAGTTTGACCCTGTGAATAGTAAACATGCATTATAATTTGGGACGGAGGGAGTAATAAAAAATCCCACAATCTCCACACATCATCTTCTTCTCTTCTTCATTCATCTTCAATTCAATTTTTTTTATCATGGACCCGAATCACCCAAAGTTTCCGTATCCTAATACTTTTTCAATTGTTATCGACCCCAAATCGACCCAAATAATCCAAATTCCCCAAATTCACTAACAAACTAACCCTACATATAATTACCTGATTGGTTCCAACCAGGCCAATTTCCTACCCCACTGTTCCAACCATCCAACCCACACCCGAATACGGGAACGAATACGTTCCCGAAAACCAATTTGAAGAAACAACCCTCCACTGATTCCGAGCCCACACCCTCGAAGATAAAATACAAAAGGAGGTGCCGACAAAAATTACAAAGTCCGCCATGACCAAATGGTGGACGGAATGAAGAGGCAGAGGTTGCACTTGTCAGGTCCTACATCGACACCTCCGATGATCCTCATATTAGTATGGGTTTAATTTTTTAGTTTTAAATTTTATTTTCGTTTTTATTTTTTCGGTTTTAATTTTTTTTATCTTGTTTTCTTAACAACTTAAGTTTATTCTTTTTTTAGGGCGTAATCAAACATCATCAGAGTTTTTGACTCGCATTCAGAGTTAATTTTTTGAGACGATGGGTCGCGGCCAATATCGGACCAACGACATGATCTCGAGTAAATGGAGAGACATGCAAGCGAAGGTTTCTGAATTTAGCGGTATTTGGAACGAGGTGAATAGGTCGCATAAGAGTGGCCAAAACGACTCACAAGTTCTGGCCGAGGCGTTGACCCTATACGCTCGTGAGCGTGGCGCGTTCACGAGTATCAATGCATGGGAAGTCATGTGTGAATCAACAAAGTGGCATACCGTCCCGAGACTTCAAGTGTCAAAACGGTTAAAGACAGATTCGTCAACCGATGTGGGTTTAGATCATTTCTAATCTAGAGTCAAAATATCTTTGAATGTTTCTGATGATGATGACGAGGGGTACTCCATGCCTTCCGAACCTCACCGCCCACGCGGTCGGAACAACCGAGCAGAACGTCTAATGTCCTTAGGGGGTAATAGCAAGTTGGAAGAGAAGTTGGACAAGATATCAACGTACATGAAGACATTTGTTTCTCTCCAACAAGAAAAAAATTACAACAATGACATGCGCATGTTGTGGGGACTCCAACGGGTAATTTGACTGGGCAGGCTAGAGAAGACGCCGAGAAGGCAAAGACAAAGATCCAGACTAAATGGAACATGGAAGACTAGTTCTTATTAATTTAAAGCTAGATGTGTCCTCCAATGTCCAACACCTAATCAATTGGACTAGTCCTTATTTAAAGCCACATTGGAAGGCTAGACTAGTTCATGTAAGACTAGTCCATGGAAGGTATTCAATAAGGACTAGTCTTCCTTTGCTATTAAGTACTAGTCTTCCATGGATGTCTTTAAATAAGGACTAGTCTTCCTTGGCTATTAGGAAAACTATTTTTTAAAATTATTTTTTTGAAAGATATTCAATATTATATGTAAAAAAAATTAAAGTAAAAAAATTAAAATTTAAAAATTGAAAAATCAAAATAAATCTGATGACAAAATCAAAAGAAAAAAATATTAAAACTTTATATGTTTTTGGGACAAAAGGTATATTTTTTTGTATGAAAATTGTGTTATTACTTCAGCTATTTATTTAATTTTAATTACAATGGTGATGACAATAATGGAAATAGTAGTAATAGTAATAATTATAATTACAATGAATGTAATAGGAATATTATTAAAAAATAAAAATAAATATTTTTTTAAGTTGTTATTGGAATAAACTTGAAGTGGTTGAAAAAGCTGAAAAGAATCGAAAAATGTTGAAAATAAATTTTCATTCAAAAGAAAAGATCCTTAGACAAGTAAAGAGGAAAAAAATGGGGTCATTATGTAATTCTCAAAAGTTAAAATGATGTGAAATAATATACTCGTATTTATTTACATGAATAAAAAGTACATACGGCAAGAATTTACTAGAGGGGTATCCATGCCCCTTCATATATTAGCCAATGCATGGAAGAAATTTCCTTTCTTTAATTATTTATCTCGCTTTTTTTCATGCTATTGTGGTTTGTTCTTAATGCGAAAAATACAATAATAAAATAACCTACTTAATGACTTTTTCCCTTATGTATTTGCTATATATTCCGGCCATAATGTGACGAATAACAAATAAAAATACAATAAAATAACGAGTAGAGATATAAAATGAAAAATCTATTCGTGGGAAGAAAGAAACCTAGCAGCCTAATCCTAGTACGTACTTGCATCGCACGCAGTTTAGGCTTTAAATAACTGAGTTTAATCGTGTTCATTATGACCATACATCATCATCATCAATTACATTGCACTAATAATTACAGTACATTATTGATTGAGTATGGAGGTGGAAAGAGTTTTCCGGCGCATGTACAACCTTAACAACGGCGAGGACATCGTGGCCCACATCAAACACGCCCTCTGCGCCGCCTACTTGATCTCCCCCGACAGACTCAGGAGCAACCGCCGCAGCATCCTCAAACTCCTCTTCGCCGACGACCCCCTTCACTCCCCCGATTCCGAAGACGAAGAAGAAGAAGAAGTTGCCGGCTTGGCGGCCTCCGCCCCCGCCAGCGGCGGACCAATAGTAGATCATCCTTCCGGCCGCCTGCAGGGGGTGGTCTCCAAGAAAGCTGGAGGGGAAGAAGAAGAAGAAGAAGAAGAAGAAGAAGAAGAAGAAGAAGAAGAAGAAAGGTTCAAGAAAGCTATTGCCAAGAGAAAGTCGTCGTGCCGTGAAAAGGAAGAAGACGGCGAAAAGAGAGGGAAATTCCTCCGCGTGGGTCACAGCAAAGTCCGATACAATATTAGGTCATACTGAAATATCTGTACGTAATTAGTTTCATCTCTCGTATGCATGGTTTATGTATTAAAAAAAAGGAAGCAATAACGAAACCTTTGAATGTTTATGCATGTGTATAAAAGGTTCGTCAGATCAGCCCCTTTTTGTAATGAAATTTTGTGTTCTATATCAATGGCGAGTTATGTACGGAGTATTCAATAATAAAGAAGAATCTTGGAAAGGTTTTGATTCTTGTCTTTTTCATAACCATAGAATTGAATATATTTTGTATTCGAAACCCTAGACCGATATAAGGCTTGTTCTCTTTAACTTAATTATGTGATTTAATGTGATCTGATTCAATTTAGTTCTAATCTGGTTATGTTATTGCTACTTGTATTTAAAGTTGTTTTTGATTTGTCTTAATCTGATTCTAATTAAAATATGTAATCAACTGGCATGTAGATCCGCAATATGAACTACTCCGTACTTCTATGTAGGTAGAATCCTTAAAAGTAAAGTAAAAGATTTTTTTCAAAATTTTTAATTAAAATAAAAAATAAAGCATAAATAAAGCATCAAAGTGTAATACGAAACTTAAAAAGTAGAGTTTTAGTATTTAGGTCCTATTGGTTTATTAGGTCTATTCGGTCCAATCGGTCCGAACCTAAATCATTTCAGTTTCGATCGGACTAGACGGAAATTTGAACACCTAAATTCTATGGGCCAAAGACTGACTCGAAATCCATTCGGTCCAGGTTCGGTCTGGATCTAACGGTCCAATGCAATCAATTTTTCCGGTCCGGATCTAAACGGGAACAACTCTAGCGGGTGGGAGAGAGGAGTTTTGAGTTTTACTCCCTCCGTTTCCCAAAACCCTTTTTCTTTCGTTTTTTTCGTTTTTCTTAAAACACTTCCTCTTTCACTTTTTTTTCCAAAACTACCCCTAAACCTAATTTTACCCAATCCCCTATCCCACCTTATCCAACCCCTTCGTTCCCCTGGCGATTCATCTCCTCTCCTCACCTTTCCTTTTTCAAAAACCGGATCAGCTTCATGTCTGCTTCCTCTTCTTCAGATCTGACCATGCCCTCATTTCGCTTGCTCTCTGATAGCGATGAGGACAAACCTAAGCCTTATCGTACTCAGAAATCTTTGAGCGAGCGCAAACGATCCATAGCTGCCTTGAAACGTCATGTTGATCCGCTTCCATCAAGTTCATCTGACACTGATCCTTTGTGGAATTTCCGGAATAAATACCTAGGGGGTGAGCATCTCCCTGATGGAATTGAGTGGGGATCAGATCTGGAAGAAGATTCATCAGATCTTGAGTCTTCATTCAACACTGATGATATTCTAGAAATGAGCTCGGAAACAGAGGTGTTGTTGTCCGAGCCAGTCGGAAGTCCCTCCAAAATTGAAAGATATAAACAGAGTAATGTCCTTTAATCTTCTCTCCTTTACACTTTGCGCATCTGTATGCATGTTATTTTTGGGCAAACTAATTATGCAAAAATAATTAATCTTAACGTCAATGAAAGTTGCCTAATTGTAACACCACCCCATTTTTGGTTTGGAGGCTTACAAAGCTCAATTATGGCTAGATAGATGTTTGGTCAGGCATTAGTGAATGTGTATGTGGAATTTCTTCTGCGTGGTGAAGATTATGTTTCCCTCTTTTGTTATGGTTGCCGTGTGAAATGCAAAGCCAGAAATTGGGTTTCTTATTTTGGTTTCCTATATGGTTCTCTAAGGCAGTTTATCCCTAAATGACCTGTGTGCCTTTCTTTGCTGCCTATGATGGATTAGAAATGTGTTCTACCCTATGTGTTCCTTGTGGCAGTTTGTCCCTAAGCTTTCATGTCCCTCTCTTTACTGCCTATGATGGATTTTGAATCCGTGATTTCCTATGAGGTTCTCTAAGGTTGTTTGTCCCTAAATGACCTGTGTGCCTTTCTTTGCTGCCCATGATGGATTAGAAATGTGTTCTACCCTATGTGTTCCCTGAGGCAGTTTGTCCCTAAGCTTTCATGTCCTTATGATGGCTATGATGGCTTCTGAATGTGTGGTACCCTATGTGATCTCTGAGGCGGTTTGTCCCTAAATGACCTGTGTGCCTTTCTTTGCTGCCTATGATGGATTAGAAATGTGTTCTACCCTATGTGTTCCCTGAGTCAGTTTGTCCCTAAGCTTTCATGTCCCTATGATGGCTATGATGGCTTCTGAATGTGTGGTACCCTATGTGATCTCTGAGGCTGTTTGTCCCTAAATGACCTGTGTGCCTTTCTTTGCTGCCTATGATGGATTAGAAATGTGTTCTACCCTATATGTTCCCTGAGGCAGTTTGTCCCTAAGATTTCATGTCCCTCTCTTTACTGCCTATGATGGATTCTGAATGTGTGGTACCCTAAGTGATCTCTGAGGCAGTTTGAGGTCCATTACTTTACTACATAAGATGGCTTTTGAATGTGTAGTGTTATATCTAAGGCATTGTGGTCTCTCTTTACTGCCTATGATGAAATCAGAATGCTTGGTACCCTCTGTGATCTCTGAGGCAGTTTGTCCCATTGGTTTGAGGTCCCTTTCTAATGCAGTCTGTCCCTAACCAGTTCTGTGAATATACTGATGGTTTTATGCAAAAAAAGACTTTTTATAGTCATATAATGATGGTTTTACATATCACATATTGTACTACATCATCACAAGCTTCTTACATGTGGTGTACACTTGCACCAAAAAACAAAAAATATTGTGCATTTGCAAACCACATGTATAAAACAAAACAAATCTACACAAAAAACTACTGCCCTATTCTCTTTAGTTGTTCAATTCTGAAATCTGGAGCACCTCTTCATACACTTCTGACTCCCAAGTTTTGTGGAAGTATCCCTTCCCTGGACAACCTTTCCTTCCCCATGTGAGGTATCTTGAAATTATTTCCTCCTTTATGCCTCAACACCTCACCCATGACTCCTTGATAGGTTAAGAACACATTGTTTAAAACATATGGTGTGAGTTGTTCAAAAGCCAAGGTGACAGCAGTTATGAGATCCCCCAATGACCTGTGTGCACTCTTGTTTTGTATAGCATCTATTGCCCTAAAAAAGCCAAGGTCAAGAACATTTAAATCTAGGCTATTGGGGGGATGAAATTGCAACCTAATATCCCAATCACTCTCTTGTGCAGCAGCCACAAAAACTGGGTCATTAATATCAACATGTGGTTTGGCATTATCTTGTTGTATAACAACATACTTAGAACTCTGTGGCCATTTTTCCCTTATTGCTAGCAGTAGTTGCTGTACCAGCATTTCTCTCATGACATCTCTTGTTGTTTTTGGAATGGGCTTTGTTTCCATTGTACCAGCAGGCCTATTTTTGCTTGTTCTTTTTGCAGCTTCTTGAAATGTGAAGGGGAATATGCCTATTTTCCCATCCCACAGTACCTGACCATCATCCCCAAACCTAGGACGACCTACAGCAGCCAAAAACATAATTTTGGGAATATGTGTTTTGGACTGTATGGTTCGGTAGGGGTCTGCCTCATCAGGTAAGGTGTAGAAGGTCTTTTTAGGCTTGCTCAACTCAAACCACTTCTCATCAATATGTATATAATCATAACAATGATGGAATGTTGGGTTATTTGGTAGGGATGTGGGAGAAAGTAATGACAAACAATACCTCACCCTTTTTAACTTACCTTCATCACATAGATGAGGTTTAATAGCATTGGAGTGTCTTCTGATTTTTTTCTTCTTCACCAACCTATGTGTTGTACTAGTTGACACATTAACACAGTGGCTTAGGGCATGTAGCGTTTGCCGCTGGTGAAATGGAATGTCAGTCAGCTTTGAAATGTCCAAATT